CTGGGTCATGGGTCTGTCTCTTGGCTCATCAGCGTGGCTCACTGGGTTGGAAATGAAGTCTGACCTGAGATGAACTCCCTCCTAGGCCCTGGCACAGGCCTTGCTGATTGTGGCTGTGGTTTATATGGGGTTCACACAGAGCAAACAATTTTAGCGGGAGGGAGGGTGGGGTACAGAGGCTCCCTATGTTGCCCAAGGGGACTCAGAACTCAAGCTGCTCCCTTTCCTGTGCCAGCTTCTGAAATGCTGCGATTTCAGGCATGTGCCACCACCCTGACACTGTCTTGGTTCACGGCAGAACTAAGAGTGGGCAGGGTTAGGGCAGTGTCACATGTGGGGGAGGGGACCAAAAGGAGAAACAGTAGCTACTGTAACAATGGGAATGGCTGTTTGGTTTGTTGGAGTGATCAGTGCAAGGGGGGAAGGAGTAAGCATGATCCAGGAGAGTCGTGAGAGGCAGCGTCTGTCACATAGGTGTGACCCCAGCACTCTTCCACCGGGATGCACTGATCCAAAACATAGTGTAACTTTTATCCACTATTTTTTTTTTCCTGATACACGGTGTCTCTGTGGCTTTGGAGGCTGTCCTGGAACTCGCTCTTGTAGACCAGGCTGGCCTCGAACTCACAAAGATCCACCTGCCTCTGCATCCTGAGTGCTGGGACTAAAGGTGTGTGCCACCACCGCCCGGCTAAAATGTGTAGCCCAGGCTGGTCTCAAACTTGTGATCCTCCTGCTTCTGCCTCCTTCAGGAAATCCTACCTACCGACGTGTGCCACCACAACTGGCTTATCCAGTATTAAAATTCCGACTGAAAACAAGCTATACTTAAACAGCACGTTTTAGTCACCATGGCACCAAGAGAGAGCAAGTGAGTGGGAACATGGCAGTGGCTGGTTCCAGTCTACACAGGTTTTGGGGTTAAGAACTATTATCTTTGGACCTGCAGTCTTTAAGATCAGCATGTGTCATATGTGGACTATCATCTGATGTCAGGGTACATGTCGGCCACAGCAGCTGGTAGAACAGGATGTGGTGACCACAGCTTCTAAGCAGACAGGCTCCACTGTCCTTCAACTATCATAATGTACTAACTAAATTCTAGTTGAGAAAAGGCAGAACTGGACAATGGCATAAACATCTTAAGATTTTTGCCATCTAAGTTGATCACAGCAGAGATAACCAGAAATCATGGATGATTCAACAAAAGTGAAGAATCTTGAGAAAATATGCCTACCTTTAGCAGTAAGGCAACAAGGAAACAGAAGTCCTCTTCAGGGTCTACAGTGGCAGAACATGGTTAGACTTCTCGTCCATGAAGTTTTGTGGGATCAGCTAGTATTTTTAGAGGCCATGATGGCGGCAGAGGGTGTGGTCATCAAGGGACGTTTGAGTGATACTCCTAGACATTCCATGTCTTCCAGGAGACAGCCCTGAAGGGAATGGGCCGAGGCCCTTTTTTCCCCATTATTTCTTGAATACAGCTCTTTGCAAAGTATGTGCCTTGTATTATATATTCCAAGCAAACCAGGAGATGCTCAGGCTCAGTGTAAACTCTGACTGGCTGTAAGACCTGAGACGCTTCAGTGGCTGGTGCCTGCAGATGACCCGGAAAGCAGTCTTCCCGGCTGAGGACTACATCTGTACTTTATCTTACCCCAACAACTCTGATCAGGCACAATCTTCCTAGAGGATATCTTCTAACATATCCTGAGAACTTCAGGGTGGGGAGGAAGTAAGCTGCACTGTTACATGTAAGTGGAAAACCACAAGGTAGGAGACAATGCTCAGCATGGACCCACCCTTGTTCAAACAAAAGCAGAGGAAGAGTTCGTGCTGACAATCTACCAAGACACTATTTTGGGGAGCACTTGCACCATCAGCAAAAATGCTTCTCCTGGTTATAGCAGCTTTTATTGGATGCTTTAGAAACAACCTAGCTGCTGTCAAACTAAACAAGATGGGAAAAACTGAGGGGCAAACGCCGATCATGTTGGGCTTCCTTCCCTTATCATGTTTACATGTGTCATCAGAAAGGAAAACTAATGAGTGCTTTCCTGGGTTTTTGTGTCCCATCCCCGGGTATTGTGAGCCTCAGACACACAAGGCAGTCTGTTCAGACATGTTCAGACTCCCTCACGAGGCCAGATACAAGTTGTGGATGGTTCAGCTTACACCTCGTTGTAAGCAATACTTAAGAGGGTTGCGTACCCCACAAAAATGAAGCCACTTTCTACTCTCAGAATTTCCTGTGAGGTTTTCAACAGGCAGGCTGGTACAAAACAGGGCACAAGGTCCTGTTCCTTGTTGAACATGTAACTTGGGCAGGGTGGAAGCTCGCCTTCTAAGATGAAGGTCCAACTGTAGGATGAAGAGTTACCTGTGAGCAGTTCTTTCCCTAGAAAGAAGTCACGCAGACGCAGATGTGAGACGCCCTGAAGGCAGCCTGGCATACTCCTATGAAGGCTTTTTTTGGAAACAGGCTCTCAGTGTGTAGCCCTGGCTGGCCTTGAACTCTAAAATCTGTCTCCGCTTTCCTAGAGCATGTTCCACCAACCTGCCTCGAGGAGACTGCCACTTCCCAATTGCTTTCTGGCATGACGTTAACACTCGTAGGCCTCGCTTCGCGAAAGCTGTCTTTGTAAGCCTCTGGCTTTTCCACTCCACTAATCTCCCCTTGGACACCCCCTGCTTCCCTCAGACACTGCACTCTGGCTCCTGTCAAGTCTGTAGCCTCTACTTTTCATGACCTTTGCTGCTATGTGAAACTAACAGGGTTGGCCCAGATGGCTCTAAAATCTATATAATCTGGGGGCGGGGCAGAGAGATGGCAAAGTGGTGGGTTCAGGTCCCAGCCCTTGCATGGCGGCTCACAGCTGTCTGTGACTCCAGTTCCAGGGGATCAGCACTCTCTTCTGATCTCTGCTGGCACCAGGCTCACAGGTGGCGGTTTTGCACACGCAGGCAAAACACTTGTAGATATAAGACAAATTCAAAGACATTTTACAAACTCTAAACAAACTGTGAAATTTGAGGGTTCTTTGAAAATATTCACTGAAGACCAAGAAGGACCTACATACTCAGGTCACTGTCATAATACTGAGGTTTCCTCAGGGCTTAAGTTCATCTAGCAGGCGCTAGCACCATAGGGGTCAAGAGCAACGTTGAGTTTCATGGTTCAAATTTAGCCTGAGGACCACCAGTTCCCGGCAGATGCCAGGGGTCAGGATGGCAACAGAGTAGGGACATGAGATACGAAACGAGAATAAACAGACCACAAGTATTCCACACACAGTTTGGTAGTTTCCTTTTTTTCCAGACACAGGGTACATCATCTTTTTTAGCTCTGCCTTGACTATTAACATCTCATTATTCTTTGGCCTGTTTCCAGGCCAGGTTCAAAAACATTTTAGAGATCTTTTGGTCATTTTCTCAAACTCTGAAATGTCTTTATTCACTAGAATCCAAAGAAATAGTAATGGATGAGGAGGGCCAACTACTTATCTTCAACAGGTGTGCCAGTAAAACCTGTTTGGTCTGCAGCTGGGCCGTGGTGGCACATACCTTTAATCCCAGCACTCTGGAAACAGAGTTCAAGGCTAGCTTGGTCTATAGAGGAGTTCCAGGACAGGCTCCAAAGCTACAGAGAAACCCTGTCTTGAAAAACCCAAACACATAATAAAAACCCTTTTTATTCTGACCCCACTTCAAGGGATCCAGGTGTCACTGCTGTAATGAGAGTGTCGAAGTTGCTGAGACTCATTTTAAATACTGAATGTATGTATGTATGTATGTATGTATGTATGTATGTATGTATGTATGTGTGAGAGCATGTACATACTATGACATTAGTGTATGGAGGGCAGAGAGCAACCTACGGGAGTCAGGTCGCTACCACGTGGGTTCCAGGAACTGAACTCAGGCCCTTAGGCTTGGCAACAAGTGTCTTTAATTACTGCGCCATCTCACTGGCTCCTGACTTCTCTCCCATGTCACCGTTTGTGCGTAGCAGCCCAGGCGGGCTTCAAGCTCACTACATAGCAGGGGACAACTGAATCAGTTCTCCCTTGCCTCTACCTACCAAGTGCTGGGATTCCAGGTGTGCTCTGCGTTTGTGTGCTGACAGGGATTAAATCTGATGCTTCATACATGCTCGGCAAACGCTTTACCCTGCCCCACCTACAGCTGCCGTTAGCCCAGGGTGACCTCAAACTCACAGCAATCCTTCTGCCTCAGCTTCTCATGTGTTAGGATTACCATGCCGCATTTGGCTATAGAGTTAAATGCTTTACAGGTAAGGGTGGTTCAGTCATCGCACAGAGAAAGAGACTGATGAGGTTAGGGTCCGAGGTGAAGAAAGCAAAAAGCTAACTTTCTTTTTTAATTAAAAATTGTTTATTTTATATACATTGGTGTTTCACCTGCATGTACATCTGCATGACGATGTTGGATCCCCTGATACTGGAATTACAGTTATGAGCTGCCTTGTGGTTGCTGGGAATTAGACCCAGGACCTCTGGAAAAGCAGCCAGTGCTCTTAACCACTGAGCTATCTTTCCAGCCCAAAACCTGATACAGAGTAAAGCCTAAGATTCTCAAGGCATGAAAAGCCATCATCATCATCATCATCATCATCATCATCATCATCATTATTATTTTGGTTTTTTGAGACAGCGTTTCTCTGTGGCTTTGGAGGCTGTCCTGGAACTCGCTCTTGTAGACCAGGCTGGTCTCGAACTCACAGAGATCTGCCTGCCTTTGCCTCCTGAGTGCTGGGATTAAAGACATGCGCCACCACCGCCCGGCCAGCATTATTTTGTAATGTCCTAAAATACAGTTAATATTGGATTGTAAGAAAAGTGTAATTACTGCTGAAAATAAAGTTAGGAATAGAGCCTTTGAAAGGCCAATTTTAAGGGAAAAGTAGGATTTAATTCCAAACACTCACCTCCTCCGATCTAGCTGGGTCAATATTCAAGAGACTCGACAGGAACACAAAGTAGAGAATAGAATTTTAATTAGTATCAAAACCAGGACCTTTGGGGGCCAATTTAGTACTTGCTGGAATAAAATTGCACACTGTTACTTGGTAATTGACTTGGCTTCTAAATCAAGTCTGAATCACACATTATATGCCAGCACATCCCATGACTACATGCAGAGATGGAGACGAGCTATAAAACCAAAATCGCCATTGGTATTGATGAAATTAATACCGGAAACAGCTGTCCAGAGGTGCAGAGCATCTACTTTTCATTGAGAGAGTGGTTTGAATGCTGTTCTTTCCAAGAGTTGACGTCAACCCATGCAGTGACATCAACTCGACTGCTCTGCAGTGGGGAAAAGCAGACATACTCCTTTGCTTACGGAAGCAAACTTTTCCTTTCGGTTGACATTCAGCATATGCTCAGCCACCTTTAATGACAGCCATACAACACGGGTTTAATTTTCCTGAGAATTAAATGAGACCCGCTAAGTAACTAGGCTGTGAAAATCACTGAGTTCTCAGGCATCTCCAAACTCAAAAGATGCTGCTCAGCTCTGCTAAGCCTCATCAACAGCCTTCACAGCGAGGGCTTCGTGACCACTCACTAGGTCACGCAGTCTTGGCAAACTCAATGGCGGCGAGGAGCTGACAGCACTGAGGGCAAGCACTAACACCCACAGAAAGCCGCGGGCTCTGCCACCCTGCAGAGAAAAGAGAGGGGTGTGTGTGGACTGACTGGCTCTGCTCCCAGCAGCTGCAAAACCCCTTACACACGAGAAAGACAGCACCTTGAGTGGAGCGCAGGGAGCCGCCCGGAAGCCAGTGTTGGCCATGGCAAGGACAGCTACTGTTGCCCTAAGCGAACCGCCTTCTGTAGGAGGTATCTGCAGGTAACGCTGGGCTTCCCAGCCAGCATTATTTTCCAGCTTATTAACATCTGCAGACTCTTCAGGGCCACGTGTGAAAGAAGTCATCAAGCAGCACAGAAAAGATACGGTCTGGCTTCAATCCAAACTGTCTCCATTTTCTGTGTAACCTAATGCAAGGCACTGCAAATACTGGTGCCTCAGTATACACACGAGACACGGTAACACACGCTCACTTACCTCGGGGCGCCGCTGCAAGACCGCTGAATGCACTCCAGATGAACAGACGGCACTGTGGAAACAATTACAGCCCAGAAACCCTGTGGCTCACTGTCCGTTACTGTGCCCTCATGTAACGCTTTGAGCTGTAAACAGTAACTGCTGGTGGCATTCCATCCCTTCACGCGTTAGCTGTTTGGCACACAGGTGTTTATGTATTTCAAGTCATCATATTCTCTAGTCCAAAGGTGTTTCCTCATTTTCTAACACAGCTAATGCAGTAAATATACCCAAGGTGGGGTCCCTGTGTTGGAAACTTCTAGCTTGCTCTCAGGTACATGGGATATAAAAAAAAATTGAACTGGTGCTGTGTGAAACCATGTTTTTAATGAAAAACAAAACAAAAAAACCCCAAAAACCTGACGTATGCCACAGCATCACCTGGTCATCTGAAAGATTTTGGGGAAAAAGGGACCTCAACATGATACAAAATAAGTGTGACTCAAAAGAAACATTAAACATGTAATGTTTCATACACTGAAATAACTAGGGATAATAAATTATAAGTATAGTTCAAATATTGCTTTTAGCATTAGGTTTTTTTTTTAAAACAAGTGGAATTTAGAACATTTCATATTTGTTATATTCTTCCTTCAAAGGAACTGTGGACATGGAAGCCTTCACAGAATCAAAAACCATGATGCCACCTTATAGTCACCACACAGAATGTACTGGGTTCTGACCACCCGAGAGTTAGAACACCTTTAGGTTAACACATTATATTAGACTCCTCTGGAGAACTGGACCATGACGGCTGCCTCCACACAGCTCACCCAAGCCCACCGCACTTCCTCGCACGCCTGGTGAGTCTCTGCAGGGGCTTTGCTAGACTCGTAGCCAAAATTACAGAAACAGTAAATAACGTCTTTAGAACTGAAAATGTGTTTGTTCTCTTTTAAAAATAAAATAAAGTGCTTAGAAATTAAAGTATTTCTTGCCCTAAACAAAACTGGAATCTTGGAATCTCTGTATCTTGACACATTTTAACAGGAAAAAAAAGTTTGGGCCAGTCATATCCTTCCAGAGTTCAGATTGGATCTAGGCTGGGTTTTGCTTCGTTATCATGCTCATGTTTGTACATGAATGTTAAAAGAAAAAGAGCGACATCCAAGGATGACCAGTAGGCAGTGTGCGATGTGACGGCTGACCAATAGCGGCTCTCCACGAGGCCTTCTCTGAGTTCAAAGTCAATCCTGTGCTCCAGTTCCACTGAAAAGACAGAGTTAAATGGAGATTACGATGAGTCTGATGCAGGCTCAAGACAGCTGGGCGAAAAACATCTAGCGAGTGGAAAGGACTTTTAAACTGTCACTCCCTTCACTCTAAATTTACGGGACAGTAAAAAAAGCCAAAGCTTTCAGGGTTTCTGCTGGAGAGTTCTGTTCCCGCTCAAGTCAGCAATGAACAACAAGAGAGCAAACAACAAAGTTCACTTGCTATCACGGCATATTTTTGGAGTTAGAAGACTATATCTTATCTCCCTTCCTTGAAGAACTTCCTGCATTCCCAGGGAAATGCAGAGGTCACCTGACGCCTCCTCAGTGGAGAGGCCCCACAGAATATGAGCTTCTGTGGGGAAATATTCTACAACAACCATTCCTAAAAAAAATTAATTATTACTATTATCTGATAGCTCAGCAGTGTTCTTCCTTCCCCCTTAGGCTGAGTTCTTCGGAGGCAGCCACCACACACAAATCAGACTGCACTGATTTAGCGGGGTCGAGCCTGTGCCTGTCATTCAAGTGGGAAGAGTTATTAAACTGGGGGAGTCTCCTGTAGTACGAAGGACTTTAGCTGTAATCTCCTATGAATACAATGAAGCCTTTCCAGAACCCACAGACAGTCCTGGCGATACCGGAGAAGAATGAACAGATGAAGGCTTTTGTAAATCTTAATGGGCTAGTGAACAGACCCTCAAAGACAGCACACGTGGAGAAACATTATCACAAGGGGCTGGGGATGACATAAGAAACATCATCATGATGGGCTGGGGGACGGCATAAGCCTGGGAACCTGAGTTTGATTCCTGGACTCTACGTAAAGGCTGGATGAGAGAACCAACTCCACAAGGTGTCTTCTGACGCACATATATACATCATTTAATGCCAGAAGTAAAAAATGACAAAAATAAAGAAGGCTGGAAAAAAACAAACAAACCACCAACTAGGTTTTGCTTTATATTGGGAATGTGGTAGTCACACATAAGAAATCATACCACTCTAGAAAATAATTTCAAATAAATGTTTGTTATTTTGTTATTGATTTTTGGGGGGACAGGGTTTCTCTGTGTAGCCCTGGCTGTCCTGGAACGAGCTCTGTAGACCTGGCTGGTCTCGAACTCAGAAGTCAAGAGATCTGCCTGCCGCTGCCTCCCTAGTGCTTGGATTAAAGGCGTGCGCCACCACTGCCAGCTGCTAATGCTAATTTTAAACAGGTCTTGTTTTGTGGTAACAACGATTGGCAATTTGAAATATAAACATAAAGTAATTACCTTCCAGTTACGCTTCTCTGATTTCTAATTTATCTATGTATCTGCTATTTATACTTAAGAGGTGGAATGCTGACTAGGTTAAAAAATACTTGTATAAAACCCCAAGATAGAACTTTTACAAAGCTCTTTTAACTTAAAAATTTTCCCTTAATTAAAGTAAGTCAGAAATTGCTGAAATCCATGTGGATTTAGGTAAGAATACCCCATGGGCCCTCACATGAAATTTGTAGGTAGAGTCACCCACACCAGACCAGAACACAAAGATGAGAAAACTGAATTCTCAGACGTGATGCGTGGAGTCAAGATGAAGCAGGTTACAAAAAGAGAGAAGAGGCAAGGGTGTGACCCAGGAGGGTTTAATCTCAGATGCTGCCACACGTTCCTTTTCAGCCCCAAACTCTACACTAGGGTTTAAAATTGTGTTTTTAAAGGGGGCATTTTTTCTTGCTATAGGAATTATTTGGCTCCATTTTAAGGTCCTGAAATTAATTTTTGAGACAGATCTTCTCTGTGTAACATCTCTGGCTGTCCTAGAACTGGCTTTGTAGACCAGGCTGGCCTTGAACTCACGAGATCTGCCTGCCTCTGCCTCCTGAGTGCTTGGATTAAAGGCGTATATTACCACCCAGCCTGAAATTAATTCTTGACATGCTACCAATGTCCTAAAGCACTGCTTTCATAAAGTAGTTACTATATTTTATTATGGGCCCTTGTCATTCTTGTCACCTCTGGGAACACCAGTTACGTTGTTACCTAGATTGGTTACATCTGTTCTTTTCTCTTACTCACTGGGCTTGGTTAGAGTCATCACAATGTAAACTAGGTAGCCAGCTTCCCCCACAAACCTGCTCTGGCCCCTCAACTTCCGCTGGGTCTCAGTACAGTTACTGCACATCTGGTTGGCTTTGTGGGGAGATCAGGGATGGAACGAAGTGGGCTGTGTTCCCCCTCCTCTCTCCCTTTATGTGGCTCAGAGAATCTCCAAAGGGGAGGGGTTCTACATGGCAGTACTACTTTGTGGTGCTGTACAATCTGCCTTGCAGATGGACCTGCTGTTTCAGCGTTAGCATACTAAGACTTGTTAGGACAACACAGGTGATGGACTCTCCTAGTTCCTCTAGCCGTCTGGGGTCATGGGGAAAGGAGAAAGTAAAATTACCTTCTGTTCTTTTTCTACGCTTCAAATAATCTAAATGTAAAATCGGTTAGAACAAACAAACAGAAACGTGTTCCTGAGACGGTGAAGAACCAAGCACTGAGAAAGCAGCTGGGCTTGAACGCAGGTCCAAGTGCGGACAACCCAGGCAGAGCGACACCCTGGAGTCATTCCTTCAGTGCTGCCCTTTTCTGTTGGCTCTTCAGACAGTAGCTCTCATCGGCTTGGAGCATATTAATCAGGTCAGGCTGCCAGGCCAGAGAGGGATCCAGGGACTCAGCCATCTCCACCCCCTTGGAACTGGGGTCACAAGCATTTACCACCGTGCCCAGAGTGGGTTTTGAGGCTTGGACTCAGTTTCTCTTGCAAGTTTTTTTTCTCTCTCTCTCTCTTTTTTCTGACTGAGCTATTTCTCCAGGACAGTTTTTTTTTTTTTTTAACAGAAATGTTTGGTTATATGACTAGCAGCTGGAGATATGTATGTAACTTCTTGAGGGGAATTCACTGAGTTAGGTCAATATAAACCCTTGCTTTGGAGGCAAAAAAGGACCCAGCTTGTTATACTCAAACACCTTTTGGGAACTACAACAAGTATATGGTTTCTGGTAACTGAAAAAGATGTATAAAAGGTTAAAGGTGACTAAAATAACCAAAGACAACCCTGAACACATTTTTTTAACATCAAAGACAAAATTCACTGTTAGTAAGAAAAACATGAAAGAGAGAGAGAGAAACTACAGAAGGAATGAGAAATCAGTCAGCAGAGGAATTTTAAGCTGTTAAGATTAGTCCTTAGTGACAGATTCAGAGTATGCTGGAAAGGAAGATTGAGAACACCCTATGTCAGTATCACCGCATTAAAACAGAGTCCCCCCTGGTGGAGGACTCCGTGTCTGTGCTGGGATGAGCTGTCAGCTGTGGCAGACCCACAACCCAAGTGCTAACGACAGACATCGGGAACAACTAAGAGCGATGCAGCTCTTTGTACCAGGAAACCTTTTCCTATTTGAGTATAGACATGAGAAGAACAGCGAAAACGTCTGAGGCCTTGAGGACAGTAAGGAACAGATAGGGATAAATAACGCCTTTCTCCTGTCTCTGAAGCCCTCCTTTGTAGGAGTGCTATATTTTTAGCACCTGAAGTGGTTGTGAGCTCTACCAGGAAGAGAGAAAATACACATGTAGTCTGAAGCGGCTCTCCCAGAGGCTCCCCCAGTTCTCACGAGCCAATCTCTAAGCGGACCATTTCCACAGTGTGCCGAGTGCCGCCCTGACATATACCATACCGAGGCTATCATCTTTACTCTGCATTACATTTTCCGGAAAAAGAAGTTGTGGGAGATAAAAGAACGATTCTTGAAGTCTGAAATCTGTGAAAAAAAACAAACGAGATGCTGTAAAGGCAAGGCTGACAGTAAAAACTGGCCTTCAGTGTTGCAATGGTCCAAACGTTAGAGCAATCTTCCAAATAAGCTGGTTAAGCCTAGCACGCACACAGAAGCACACCCTAGCTTTCTGAGAAGAGCCGCTTCACGGGAAATGCAAGCACAATTCAGTTCTCAAGTGTAATGTCAGAATCTGTGGATAGCTCGATTTCTCCTCAAACTTAGTGCTAATGCAGGTTGTAACCTAAAGGGCAATAAAACAAAAACAAATAAAAAAACCCTAAAAGAAACAGGCCCTTTCATTTCACAACATGTTACAAACACAGGGACATAAGCAATGAAGCCATAAAATGCTTTAAAATAAGCTGGTCTTTTCAGAGTAAATTAAGGCTAGCTACATAAGATGTGTCAACTCGATGAAAAAAATCAAGAAGACCAACTGACAACACTTAACTCTTTAAAGAGAACACTCGGTCACGAATTCAGCCTGTGTCCTCCTTACCCCCAGATAATGAGACTCATAGACAGGGCCGTTGAGAATAGAGGTTATCCTGAAGAGCTGAGGCAATCAATGGGGGGAGGAGGAGGAGGAGGAGGAAGAGGAGGAGGGAGGGAGCTCAGTCGCCTGATCACAACAGCCAAATTCCAGAAAGATTTAAGGAAGAGAAGTTTCAGGATTGCAAGACAGCATGAAAGTCAGGATTACACACTACCGACTGAGGCAAGCCAAAGAGTTACTAAGACAGAATGACAGTCAGAGTCTGATTGTAATAGTCCTAATTCTCCCGAGAGATGACTACAGGGACAGAGACTCATGATTACCTCAGATACGGTTGAGACTAAGGTTGGAATTTAACATGCAGACCAGTAAAGCATTTACATGTAAGCATGCCACAACATGGCTGGTGTAGCTCAGCAGGACTGCAGGCTGCATGCAGAACACACACTAGGGCCTCGGTCTGAGGGAAGACACGGGAGAATCTGTCCAGCTGAGTGGGGCATTTGAGGCATCTTTGGTAGTAAGTTCACACAAAGAGGAGAGATTCTGTATGTGCTCAGGTCTTTTTCTGGGGGTCCCCACTGTCACTGTTCCTTAGCATCCCTGCTGTGCAGCAGCAAGACTACAGAGAACTAACTTCTCAATGCCACCTTCCAAAATTCCTTCAAAATAATTCTCTTCAGAAGCTAACAGTTTTGGTTTCTGACAGTCAGTAACGTTTATATATTTGTGGTCATGTTTCTAGGTAAAACCAAGTGAACAATACTGTAAGAACTCAGAGGACAAGGAGTTCTATACAGACATCAAAGTCTAAAAAGAATCGTCTATACATGGTCAATGACTCACAAACATACATTTTAGCACTCAAAAGGAATGAAAAAAAAATGCTATTGTCCTAATTAGGAATGCTCAGCCCTGCTGCTGATCCACCCTGGAGGGGAGAGTGTGGAGGGACAGTGTAGCCTCTAGGGTGCCACCTTGATGTGTCTGGTACAATGACTGGAGCAGTCCACTTCTTGCTAGTTTCAGAAAGGGAGCAGCTACTTTAGAACATGTCTGACCTTATCACCGATGGGACCACCCAAAGTGTTAGTGCCTTTACTGGACACTTAAAGGCAACGTTCACTGGTGGACTAGCATGTCCCAGCTAGGTAAGATCAAAACCATTTGAAGTCCACTGTAAAAAAAATGAAGTCCACTGACACTATGCACTAGGTGACCAGGGCAGGAAGAGAGGGGACACAGTAAAATGCTTCAGCTTTGGAGGTCTCAAAGCTGGAGGCTAGTGTGCTTAGCTGCAGGGCAGAGCACTGGTTCAGAACTCTCAAGGCCAGATTCAGGACAGTGTGAAATTTAAACCTTGGTGATTGTTGTAAAGATAAGCTTTGTAAAAGCTAGGGCCACTCCTCCACAGAGACTGTCTATTTTTTGTTAAAATGACCTAGTAACTTGTCACTGCAGACACTAAAACTGTCTAGAAAGTACTCTTCTCGAACCTGAACAGGGCCCACCAGTACTCCTGCCCTCCCCGCCCTCCGAAGCTACAGGTGAGCGCGTAAGCCAAGGAGAACCCAAGGAACTAACAGGCAGAGTCAAGGAAACCGGAGCTGCTGTGCGGCAGGGTCTGCGTCGCCACGGTGGTGGCAGAGGGAGAGGCGACAGGCCTCTTCTCATCTTCCACTGTGTCCTTAGGCGTCTCAGGCGGCTGCGGCGCTGAAGAACGTCCGAATCTTGAGAACAGCATTCCTCCAAGCCCCTTTCCAATGCTAGCAGCCCCTGCAGGTCACAGAAAAGGCAGTCACTGTGCTGACTCATCTCACGGCATCACTCATGATCACAGCCAACTGGCAGAGGGACCGAGCCACACTCATTCTTTCCCAGGGTGGGGAACCTAAAAAAAAAAATTCCAATTTCTATGTAGACTCCTAAATAAGAATGATGTTAAAAGAAGGAAAGTTGTATAAATTCTAGGAATATAGATACATGACTATACAATCAAGATGGTATTTTATCCAAACATTCACTGTTATGGAAGTATTTGGCAAAATGAAAACTTCCAACAAAAGACACACGCTGCTGACATGGGGAATATAGTTACTATTAATAGGTATATGTCTTGCTAAATTTATGGTATAAAAAGCCATTAGTAACCTTTGAGCAAGAAGTCAAAGAGCAAGCAAGTTTGGTAGGTAAGGCCTACTTACAGTGCCATCTTGTGGCACTTACATAAAGGACACTCAACCAGAAACAAAGGACAGATTCAAGTGGTATGCTATTGAAATGTCACTTCTGTGCTGGCACAAGAAGTTACTCAAAGAGAGGTGAAATATCCCGCTGCCCTCGGAAGCAAAAGCACTAAACAACTTGACTTCCAGAAGACGTTTAAGAGTCCTGATGGGGAGATCCTCCCAGAATGCACAAGAGGAACAGTAAAAACAGCAGTATTTCTTAGGAAACCCAGAAGTCATAGGCCAGACTACAGGGAGCAGAGTGCTGTTTCCTGTTCTTCAGTGTGACCACAGGACGTCAGAGCTCCTGCTTCAGTCAGCAGGGAAGCTAATTCCAGGAGACGGACAGTTGGAAGTTTTCTAACAGGGTATTTCCAAGCAGCCGTCAATTCAAGTGCTTACATTCATAGATGAGAAAATAGAGCAGTTACCCAATATGCTTGCTTTGCCAATGTTAGTTATGGACTCTCCATAGTGGCGCCGTGATAAGACTGGGGAGGTCACGGGGCTCGGGATGTTGGCGATGTTTTCACTCTCTGAAGTTGAGGTAGGCTCTTTTGCTGGGTTGAGAAGGTTTGGCTTCATATGCTCATAAGGTAGAGGGTTTGAAGTGTTGTACCAGTGGATCTGGACTGGGGAGATGTTGCTGTAGTGCTTCAGAATTAATGGCTCTAATCTGTAGGCCTAGACATTTAAAAGTGCAGAGACACAATATTAATACACGATGTCTAGATTTTAGTAAGATGTTTATTCCTAAAGCTGTTAAGTAAATCTTAGAGCAATAACTTTAAAAATGGCTTTAAAAATATACTTCTGTATTTTTCACCTTTAATATATGTGGTCGACAGTTACATATCCCTAATGATGAGATTATAAAAACAACTAGAGTTAGTTTTGACTAACAGTATCTACTAATTCATTTTCAGAGCAAAAGACTAACTTTTACCACATTCTGATATGGTCTGATAAGATTTATGTCAGACTCACAAAGCAAGTGGTGGTTGATAGCCCAAAACACAGTCGACAAGGTCAATCTCTAATACTCACATCTTTTATTGTTCTTGATTTCAAACACGTGACTCCAGTAAGAGCCTAACTCAGAGCCAACAAAAGGCTGCTGTCTACAGCACTGAGGCCATCACCAGTTGTAGCACAGCATCAGAATCCCGCGGCACAGCTTCTCACCTCCATCACTAACTGCCATTAGCTGTTTGCCATTTGCTAGGCCAAAATCTCAGAGCCACCTCACAGGAGGAAAAGAGAATGTCTGCGGAACCTGCCTAAAAAGGTCTGTACGGAGCAGCAAAGAGAGTATTGGAGAAATAGCACAGCTTGGTGGCAAGGTGCATGCTCAAGACACATGAGGCTCTGGGTTCAAATCCCAGAACCAAACACACAAAACCCAAGTTTGAGACGTGCAAAGAAGACAGAATTCATGTGTGCAGAAAAACACCTGCACATACAGACACGCTGGTCCCACTGTACTCTGTATCCCAGCCTCTAACAGACTTAGGCTGCCATCCTGGCGGAAGCTCACTTTCAGCTCCTCGGTTTCAGTCGGAGCTTTCTCTTAAACATGGCAGCTGTAAGCGTAAATACATGGAACTTTCTAAAATTCAAATAGTCTTTTGGTGCTAGCTAATGACCTTTCAAAAGACTTATACAATTACAATAAAAGCTAATTTCAGATAGTGTGTGTGTTGTTAACTCTAACAAGACACAAGGAAACTTCTTCGCTGTGTGGTGGAGAATTGAACCAGGTTCCTCCTGTAAACTGAGCACTTTACTGCTGAGCTGTACTCCAGTCTGAAAGTATGTGTCTTGTCTAAAGACCTCTTCTTGTCTCTCTTTTAAAAACATTTAGAAGAACAAACAGAGTAGAAAATTTTTAAAAATGAGTATTTTATACTTTGATTCAACTAAACACATGGTTTTCCCTTTCGAGAGGATCTGTTAGACTCATCTCTATAGGATGCTTCAGAAAAACAGAACTTGAAGCAGGAAAGTATTTTTTATATTTACGTATTTACATATTTTGTGCCTGTACACCACGCCACGCAGAGGACAGAGGACAACTTGCGGGAGGTGCTTTCCTCTCCCACCACGTGGGCTGCGGGGAGTAACCTCAGTCAGGCGTGGCGACGAGCAGCACGACCCGAGTTCTCCTGCCAGCCTTCAAAGCCGGACTGTAAGACTTCCTGTTCCTAGGCCACTGGAGTTACTACTGGGTAAGAGCTGAAACTCCAGTAGATTCTTGTCTCTTGTACTGATGTCCAGGGGTACTATTTATATAGTTTTTTAAAAGATGTGTTGGGAACCAAACTCAGGTCTCCTGCAAGAGCATTAAGTGCTCTTAACAACTGAGCCACCTCTCCAGTCCCTGGCAAGGTGTGACGAGAGAAAACCCTCTCTAACATTGCTAACCCTGAATGAACAACACACAGGGAACTATAACCTTCCCAATCAGTCAGAAAATGAGTTCTCTTGTTAGCTCAAGGCCCCTAGCAAGGCTTCTCACAGAGCAGCATTTCAGGATCTAGGAAGTTCACAGTGAAACTCACCACTGGGTCTGTAGGATGAAAAATATTTAGTAAGCGGTTACAAATCTCTCTAGGTAAAATGTGGTCTTGACTTCCAGTATTTCCTGGTCGGATGCCACGCAATGCCAAAAAAACTGCTAGCGGGGATCCCATACAGAAGAAATTCTCAACCTAAAATGAAAAAAAAAAGCCATCCTAAATTTAAAAAAGGACGAAGTGTTATTTTCAACAGAATGCAGAGATAATGTGTTACATAAAAAATAAAAACAATAAAATACCCTCTAAGTATATGTTTTAAGTAAGTTTTGTTTGGGTTACTTCTTAATTACATACCAACCATTAATTATTTTATAGTACTTTACTTCCAGGAGGGTTTTCATTATTTTAAAATAACAGAAATTAACCCTGAGAGAAGGAAGGAAGGAGACAAAGAGGAGCATGTCACTGTTGTTTCTATTTATCCTATTCATCAGTCAGGGATGTAGCAGGCAGCACGCGTGACTACGTCAGTACGCGAGGTCTTGTGATGCGTTGCGGGCAGCAGGGTAGGGCCACCGTTCCCAGGTGACACGGCTGTGTGGGAGGCGCCGTGGAAGAGATGCTACAAAAGAATGGAGCCTCTAACTGAGGTGGGCGGGCTGTGGCCAGTACAAGAGTAAGGACTTCCGCAGTACAGACTAGGGCAGTAGGGCTAGGAGAATGACGACAAGACTGACACTCATGGACTAAAGTAGACAGAGAAAGGCACTGCATGATTTTTGAACTTTTGAGAAAAGACAGAGGTAAGACTGAAAAGCTCTCTCCCCCCCTCTCTCTCTCTCTCTCTCTCTCTCTCTCTCTCTCTCTCTCTCTCTCTCTCTCTCTCTCTCTCTCTCTCTCTGTGTGTGTGTGTGTGTGTGTGAGATGAATCTACTTGGGATACCATTCAGATCTCTGACTATAAAGGAAGACAGGCTTAATTTATATTTTAGGCAGTGAAAAGAACAGCACTTATTAACTCATACTCCGGGGAAGCTTAGCCAGAAAATCGAGATACTACTAATTTGGGAAAAGAAAATCTCTTCAAAGAAAAAGAGAATGTGGAGTAGGGCAGGCCCAGTTGTCATTCATAGCGGGGACATTCGAGGGTAGAGTCGGGTCACATGCTTGGATGGAGATGATAAGGAATGGTCACAGACATCAATGCAGTGTCAGTCAGAGGGAACTGTCGACAAACTTTATTTTTGTTCACAGTTGTTTGAGACCTCTGCGGTGTGTGGCTGGGAGGCTAGAGCAGGAGTACAGGTAGAGCGGGGGTGCAGACAGATAGAGCAGGGGTGCAGACAGAGCAGGGGTGCAGACAGACAGAGCGGGGGTGCAGACAGACAGAGCAGGGGTGCAGACAGACAGAGCAGAGGTACAGATAGAGCAGGGGTACAGACAGATAGAGCAGGGGTGCAGACAGACAGAGCAGGGGTACAGATAGAGCAGGGGTGCAGACAGACAGAGCAGGGGTACAGATAGAGCAGGGGTGCAGACAGACAGAGCAGGGGTGCAGACAGACAGAGCAGGGGTGCAGACAGACAGAGCGGGGGTGCAGACAGATAGAGCAGGGGTGCAGACAGAGCAGGGGTGCAGACAGACAGAGCGGGGGTGCAGACAGACAGAGCAGGGGTACAGATAGAGCAGGGGTGCAGACAGACAGAGCGGGGGTGCAGACAGACAGAGCAGGGGTGCAGACAGATAGAGCAGAGGTACAGATAGAGCAGGGGTACAGACAGATAGAGCAGGGGTACAGACAGATAGAGCAGGGGTACAGACAGATAGAGCAGGGGTGCAGACAGACAGAGCAGGGGTACAGATAGAGCAGGGGTGCAGACAGACAGAGCAGGGGTGCAGACAGACAGAGCAGGGGTGCAGACAGACAGAGCGGGGGTGCAGACAGACAGAGCGGGGGTGCAGACAGACAGAGCAGGGGTGCAGACAGACAGAGCGGGGGTGCAGACAGACAGAGCGGGGGTACAGACAGACAGAGCAGGGGTGCAGACAGACAGAGCAGGGGTGCAGACAGACAGAGCAGGGGTGCAGACAGACAGAGCGGGGGTGCAGACAGACAGAGCGGGGGTGCAGACAGACAGAGCAGGGGTACAGGTAGAGCGGGGGTGCAGACAGACAGAGCGGGGGTGCAGACAGACAGAGCGGGGGTGCAGACAGACAGAGCGGGGGTGCAGACAGACAGAGCAGGGGTACAGGTAGAGCGGGGTGCAGACAGACAGAGCAGGGGTGCAGACAGACAGAGCGGGGGTGCAGACAGACAGAGCAGGGGTGCAGACAGACAGAGCGGGGGTGCAGACAGACAGAGCAGGGGTACAGACAGGTAGAGCGGGGTGCAGACAGACAGAGCAGGGGTGCAGACAGACAGAGCGGGGTGCAGACAGACAGAGCGGGGGTGCAGACAGACAGAGCGGGGGTGCAGACAGACAGAGCGGGGGTGCAGACAGACAGAGCAGGGGTACAGGTAGAGCGGGGTGCAGACAGACAGAGCGGGGGTGCAGACAGATAGAGCAGGGGTGCAGACAGACAGAGCAGGGGTGCAGACAGACAGAGCAGGGGTGCAGACAGACAGAGCAGGGGTGCAGACAGATAGAGCAGGGGTGCAGACAGACAGAGCAGGGGTGCAGACAGACAGAGCAGGGGTGCAGACAGACAGAGCAGGGGTGCAGACAGACAGAGCAGGGGTGCAGACAGACAGAGCAGGGGTGCAGACAGATAGAGCAGAGGTACAGATAGAGCAGGGGTGCAGACAGAGCAGGGGTACAGACAGATGGAGTAGGGGTACAGACAGATAGAGCAGGGGTACAGACAGATAGAGCAGGGGTACAGACAGACAGAGCAGGGGTACAGACAGATAGAGCAATGGCGCAGACAGATAGAGCAGGGGTACAGACAGATAGAGCAGGGGTGCAGACAGACAGAGCAGGGGTGCAGACAGATAGAGCAGGGGTACAGATAGAGCAGGGGTGCAGACAGACAGAGCGGGGGTGCAGACAGACAGAGCAGGGGTACAGATAGAGCAGGGGTGCAGACAGACAGAGCGGGGGTGCAGACAGACAGAGCAGGGGTGCAGACAGATAGAGCAGAGTACAGATAGAGCAGGGGTACAGACAGATAGAGCAGGGGTGCAGACAGACAGAGCAGGGGTACAGATAGAGCAGGGGTGCAGACAGACAGAGCAGGGGTGCAGACAGACAGAGCAGGGGTGCAGACAGACAGAGCGGGGGTGCAGACAGACAGAGCGGGGGTGCAGACAGACAGAGCAGGGGTGCAGACAGACAGAGCAGGGGTGCAGACAGACAGAGCGGGGGTGCAGACAGACAGAGCAGGGGTGCAGACAGACAGAGCAGGGGTGCAGACAGACAGAGCGGGGGTGCAGACAGACAGAGCGGGGGTGCAGACAGACAGAGCGGGGGTGCAGACAGACAGAGCAGGGGTACAGGTAGAGCGGGGGTGCAGACAGACAGAGCGGGGGTGCAGACAGACAGAGCGGGGGTGCAGACAGACAGAGCGGGGGTGCAGACAGACAGAGCGGGGGTGCAGACAGACAGAGCAGGGGTGCAGGTAGAGCGGGGGTGCAGACAGACAAAGCGGGGGTGCAGACAGACAGAGCGGGGGTGCAGACAGACAGAGCAGGGGTGCAGACAGACAGAGCGGGGGTGCAGACAGACAGAGCAGGGGTACAGACAGGTAGAGCGGGGTGCAGACAGACAGAGCAGGGGTGCAGACAGACAGAGCGGGGTGCAGACAGACAGAGCGGGGGTGCAGACAGACAGAGCGGGGGTGCAGACAGACAGAGCGGGGGTGCAGACAGACAGAGCAGGGGTACAGGTAGAGCGGGGGTGCAGACAGACAGAGCGGGGGTGCAGACAGATAGAGCAGGGGTGCAGACAGACAGAGCAGGGGTGCAGACAGATAGAGCAGGGGTGCAGACAGACAGAGCAGGGGTGCAGACAGACAGAGCAGGGGTGCAGACAGACAGAGCAGGGGTGCAGACAGATAGAGCAGAGGTACAGATAGAGCAGGGGTGCAGACAGACAGAGCAGGGGTGCAGACAGACAGAGCAGGGGTGCAGACAGACAGAGCAGGGGTGCAGACAGACAGAGCAGGGGTGCAGACAGACAGAGCAGGGGTGCAGACAGACAGAGCAGGGGTACAGACAGATAGAGCAGGGGTACAGACAGATAGAGCAGGGGTGCAGACAGAGCAGGGGTACAGACAGATGGAGTAGGGGTACAGACAGATAGAGCAGGGGTACAGACAGATAGAGCAGGGGTACAGACAGATAGAGCAGGGGCGCAGACAGATAGAGCAGGGGTACAGACAGATAGAGCAGGGGTGCAGACAGATGGAGTAGGGGTACAGACAGATAGAGCAGGGGTACAGACAGATAGAGCAGGGGTGCAGACAGAGCAGGGGTGCAGACAGATGGAGTAGGGGCACACCACTGTGTCTCCTGTCACCCCATCTGCACCCCCATCGCCATCACTGTGGTCACTGCATGTGAGCCAACGAAGTAACCAGCTGCGTAGGACGTGCTCACAGCTAGACACAGACCTACACTTGGTCAGCGGGAGAAAGGGGACTCTAGAAGGGGGAGTGAAAGAAAGAACCAGAATAAATGGCATCGTGTAAATCAGATTCTATTCCTAATACCCCTCATCTGTCATCCTAACTATATTGTGGCAGGGTCTTGGCCTCCGATTTTATACACCTGTAACTCTCTCCAAAATATGGCAGAATGACTTTTATTTTTAGAGTGAAAAAAACACACATGGCTATTTTGAATGAATATTCTGAAATGGTGCCTTTATGTTTCTCGCACATGCTATATCACCATGCTGCCCAGCCCAAGGAAAGGCACTCTGAAGAACAGGGACAGCGGGCGTAAACCAGTTCTTCTACAAAGAGAGAGGAAGGTCTGAAAGAGAGAATTAAGCTGCACATGGGACTCATGTCTGTAATCCCGGCCCTCATGAGACTGAGGCAGGACTGGGCGTTTGAGGCTAGCCTGGGCTACAGGGTAGTTTTGAGAGCATATTCTTGAAATGCATGTCTCAATGTCACCATTTCACCATGCCCCCTGCTCCCCCAAAGCAGGGTGCTAGGGATTAAACCGAGGGTCCTGTACACACTGGCCAAGCACTTTGCCACTGAGTTATGAGTCCAGCTCAACAATTTGTATGGTTTAGATTAGAAGAAAATCAGTGTGGAGGAGTCTAGTTACAGGCATCTGGCACCCTCTTACGGTCTCTGCAGGCACCAGGCACACACACGGTTTACACACAGACATTCACCCATACTCAGGAAAATGAGTACCAGCTAAAGAAGAGCTGTGCAAGCCATAGAGTCGACACCATTTTTTCTCTGTCACCCCACACTCTGGCTGCACACTAAGCTCAGGTGTGAGGAGAGACACCAGGAGCAGGCGATGAGGTAGGTGCACTGCACATGCAGACTACAGGTGATGGGCTCACGCCGCCTTCTGTCTGCCGCTGCACGAGAGAATGCGTCCAAGAGCGCTGTCGGCGCTTCACTAGAGCAGGTTAACTAGTCTAAATACTCGGTCCCCTCTGTCTCTGAGATGGCAATTCCTCTTCTCTCACGGCCCCTTCCTTGCCAAGTCCTGAGAGCTCCAGCCTAACTGCCCCTGGGGGCCTTGTCTGGGGCTTTTGTTCTAGACTTCATGAACTGAAGCGCCCCACACTCCTACCCTGAATTCGTGTCTGTCCTCACCCTTTCCTTTTCTTCTTGCTGCTGGCCACACGTTTCGTGATTTTTAAACAGGAAACATTCCACACATCTGTCTCCTTTTCCTGTGACTTTAGAGCTCTGGACAGAAGGAAAGTCCCCCCTCTCTAGTACATCACTGCTCTGCAGCTGCCCTCCTGGCCATGCTGTTCCCCGAAGCAGCAGTGTCCAAGCACTGCATATAACGGCATGTAACCAGTCACGACTAAACCTTCATCTGTTTCATGACGCCACGCTCCATCCAACGTTCAGAAAGCACCGGGACAACGAGACGCTGATCCCCCTTACCTTGAATTTTAAGGCAGGTGTCTGTGATGTGGATGACGCCTTCAATCCATGCAGCCGTTCTTCTATTTCCCTCAGCCTGGGGGCAGCGTGAGATCACACACACATTTATAGCTTCACTACAAATCGTCATTGGAGTAGAGGCTTACATTCATGAAGCCCTCACACCCTCATCTGTGACTGTGTTTCACTATGTTCCTGCTGTACTGCTCACGGACTGCAAAGGTACTGCTTATGACACCTGTGCATATATAGTTACCTAGTTACATACCTATCCACCCATGCTGCTTTAAGAATTGCACTTTATACTCTCTCGTCCAATCTTTCTTTTCCTTTCTTATAGTTAGTAATGCATTTTATAGGTCTTTTCATTGCATTGCCCCCACCCATTTTAATCGCCAGAAGAGCCATTATCTGCCTGCCACATGAGAAACTACCTTCAACCCTTCTCTGCTAAGGGACACTTGAGTAATCTATCTTATCACACTCCAGTTTTGCTCACATCGGATACGTTTGCTTACATTTCTTTCTCAAGAAAGCTATAGCTCACTTTCTGAGACAGACTCACTTACATAGTTAGTTATGTGTTTCCTTAGCTTTTCTGAGACAGTCTCATGTGGCTTGGGCTGACTCTGAACGCCAATCCTCCTGACTCTACTTCCCAAGCGCTAGGACTACAGGCCTGTGCCACCATGATTACATTTTAAGCATTTTTTGGATTTCACTTTTAATCACGTGTGTGTTTACATGTGGATCCATGTGAGTGAAGTACCTGTACAAATCGGGAAAGGGTGTGGGATCTCCTGGGGCGGGAGTAACAGTTTGTCTGTTGTCTGACCAAGGCCCTGGGAATCAAACTCCGGTCCAGTACCGTCTCACTAGATTTACACATCTAAAGACATGCTCTGAGGACTGTAAACTAATTGTCTTTTTGTTTCTTTGAGACAGGGTTTCTCTGTGTAATCCTAGATGTCCTGGAACTCACTCTACAAACCAGCCTGACTTCAAACTCAGATCCACCTGCCTCTGCTTCTTGAGTGCTGGGACTAAGCTAAATGCTATTTTCTTCCAAGACTAATAATCGTTTTGCTATCATGGTATTTATATCTACGGCACCTAATTCCTGAGGCGACTACTCTAAAGTAAAACAAAGCCAACACTTTCTGAGTAAAGATTTGTCCATTAACTCAGCTGTTTTTTATAAAAGCTAAACTATCACAATTAGTGTTTTTCATTGTAAACTTGAATCAGTAAGAGGATGAAGATGGAGAATGCAAGTATAAATTAAGATGATAATAACGTTGCAAAGAGTTAAAGAATACTAAGACTATTATCATTAAATCTGTTTATAATTATATACTATATAATTATTAAGGATAATGTAAAACAATTTGCCAAGAATAATGAAGTTTTAATACTAGTTTCATAGTAATAAAATAATAATAACAACAACAATAATGGTACAGAGCGATCTCTATAACCAGCAAAACAAATGATTACACACTGCAAACGCTGGGGACAAACTCTGAGCAAAGATGGAAGGACCAAATCAAACTATTCTACAGAAAAGTGCATGCCATAAAAGTATGAACATTAATAACCTAGAGCTTGTTATCTATAATCTTTACCCTGAACAAAGCATAAAGCTTTTTCTTTCTTTCTTACTTAAGATTACATTTTAACTACATGTGTGCGAACACCGAGAAGGGCACTCGATTTCTCGGAGCTGGGGCTACAGGGAGTTGTGAGCAGCCCAACGTGGGTGAGGGAACTAACTCTGGTCCTCTGGAAAGAGCAGCCACCTCTCCGGACCCAGGGCTTTCTCTGAGGACATCTTGCAAAGACATCCCCACCCTTTCCTCACCGTCGTTTGGTTATGTAGAGCTCATCGAGGAGATGCCGCTCTTCATAGCTCATCCAGCGCTCATCAGGCAGCTCTTCCTCCTTCTGTAGCAGCTGCTCATAGAGCCGAACCGGGTTCCAGCCCGTCATGATGTCATAAGTGATCACACACCCCAGGGAGTGGGACACTATTGAGACTTTACCCCCTTTTTCTTCAAAGTCTGGGTTCCGAGAACAGAAAAGGGAATATAATCGGTTCAGCTCTTGCTGAAGGCCTTTAACTAGCTGTTTGAAATAAGAAAAATATACTCATATTAGATTTTTTTCACCGAGGGCTATAAACTTTATTTCTAAATGTAAGTGTGTTAAGAAAAACAAACACAACTGATGACGTATAAACAGGTTATTATGTTTATTCAGGTGCTTTAAGAAGATACAGGGATGGAGGTACGTGTATATGCTACAAACCCGACCATCACCACAGAGTACAGCATAGGCAGATACTACCCATGAGGATCCTTTTGGGGGCTTTCAGTAAATCACACTAGCCAGCTGCCCCACAGACAGGAAAAAAAAAAGATTTCCTTTTAGATTCAAATGAGGTCTTCAAAGACCCCTGAAAGTTCCTACTTCATTGCAACTTTCTATACGTCAATTCTAAATTTTCGCAGTGTATGGGTTTTAGCCATGGTGATATTTTTTAAAAGTACATAAATTTATAAGATATATTAAATATATAGTAAGTACATCATTACGAGAATATAGTAAGAGGCCACTGTATGGAAAAATCACCAGGAGACCTTATAGCTCAAACCTCATTACGTTGGTGACAGAGAAAAAGATGACTTCTGTGACTGAGACCAACTAATAAAGCCACTGACTGAAGCAGCTCAGCACTTGTCTTTGCTAAGCTGCTGAAATAGTCCTGCCCCAACCCCACAAGGCTACTTACCTCGCAAGCCCACCCTGGACCCTGATCTGAAATTGAGTGCAGACCTCTCTCCTTAGTGTTTCTTCTATTTGATTATAAATGTTCAGTCTTTATTCGCTTTTTGTCTCATTAGCTCTTAACAAGCCAGCTGTTGCTCTGACAGATTTTTCTAGAGCTTCTATTTTAAAATCATGTTAATCATGTTGTATCAAGAGGCAACCAAACTCCATCGGCTGCTACTGCGCATTCCTCACTGGATGGTGAAACCTGGCATTCCCTCTCGTACCGTACGACTGGTAGGCTCAGTGAGGACATACCCACAGCCCTGGCACCCTCTGCTGACATCCTAGAGTTCATAAACCCTGAGGCTAGTGCGAGCCACTGGAGCTATGTGACGTCTGGTGGGATCTATTCTGGCGGTGGGACACAGAGAGGAAGAGTCCACGCTTTAGTGGCAACTCTTCTCCAAGTCTCACACGTATCAGGGTCACTTGGACAGACTGCCAAACGCAGGTTGATGGCTCTGGCTTGGGGTCTTGTGTCAGAGGCTCTGCAGAGTCTGGGAATTTGCATTTGTAATGAGTTCCTGGAAAATGTCGGTGCTGCTGGCCTGAGAACTCTACTTTAGGAACTAGTGGTTCAAGGACACATGAATACAAAAGCCTTTTAAAACTTGGGTTGTAGGCAAAACCTTAGGTCTAAGGAGTACAGTCATCACTCTGTGTGAGCTGTAATTCTCTGGAGATCAAACAATACCAACAATCCGTAAGGTTAAAAACCCTCCCCTTCCTTATAATTCATGCAGCAGTCACAGAGAAGAAGCACAGTGTTTTACTTGGGACTGAACCCAGGGTGCTGTGTGTGCTGGGCAGTGAGACATAGACACAGGTGTTTTGCTTGGGGTTGAATCCAGGGTGCTGTGTGTGCTCAGGCAGAGAGACACTGATCCAGCTCTGTACCATTATTTACTTATGAAGGTCTTGACTCTAAGGTTTGTACTAGGTGAACACAGAAGTACTTCAGTACACGGCCAAAAACATCCCATTTTCATCTTTTTAAAAATGCAATCCTTAGAAAATGATTGAGAAGGACTAGCTGGCACATGGCCTTGTCCCTCTAGCCCTGGTGTCTGTGACCATTAACAAACTTAGGGTTTTTCCCTTGAGAAACTCAAACTCAGAGAGTCAACAGATCAAGGGGTGGCCTAACTTAACTGCCGTGGAGAGCGCCTTCTGTAGCACTGCTGGCTGGTTGTGGCTTAGCATGCACCTGATCCCTTGTTTCCATGCTGAAGGGAGTGTCCATTTGTTTAAGGCAGTTCTGCTCCTACAAAGGTCTTCACCACAATAAACAAACATGCTCCTCCTACTGGCTGATGAGTTACTTCCGATGTTAGGAGTAGCATGAGGGATTACAACCTTTTCTGATTACTTTTATGGATGACTTGTCTGCATATTTGTCTGTGCACCACAGGTGCCTGGAGGATGTCAGAGGGGTTAGGATTCCCTGGAACTGAAGTCGCCAGGGTTGTGAACCACCACGTGGGTGCTGGGAACTGAACCAGGGTCCAATGCAGGAGTATAAGTGCTCTTAACTTCTGAGCCACATCTCCGGCCCAATATGAGGGATTTTAATTTACAGACTGTCCTTTTGTCAACGAGCGAGCACCCCTGTGCCCACCTCTCCCCACGCACTCATTTTGTTCTTCATAATGCGTTCAGAAGCACTACCCAGAATTCCCTGATGGTATCACCTAGGAGAACCGTTAATTTAAAATGTAAACACAGGCTCCATTTCAGACCAAGTAAATCACAGCCTCTAGGGATGGACCTAGAAAACTGTTTTCCCTCTTAACTTAAATATTTTGTTTCCTCAGCTTTTTATTAGAAAACATAAAATGTTACAAAGCAAAATTCGTACAAAAAAGATCCACTGTCTGGGCTGGCGCTGGCCCAGGGTTATGAAAGCACACTGCTTTTACAGAGACCCGAGCGCAGTTCCCAACACCCATGGTGGGCGGCTCACAGCCACCTGTTAATTGAGCTCCGAGGGAGCCGACGCGCTTCTCTGGGCTCCACAGGTACGTGCGCTCACGTGCACGCTCACCTCTTCACAACACGTAATTAAAAACACCAACATTTACATCCTCCTTTTGTTAGCATTTACCACACCTGTGTTATTTATTCTCTCTGCCTCTGTAAATGTACAAACGCACACCTTCCCAAAATTTCTGGTAATCACTTATACTACTATACATATTGTCCTCTTTTATCCCTTAATACTTAATGGTATACTCCCTAATACAAGGGATATTTCTAGCACAATTACTCATGCCACACAGTGCAGGGAGCCATGAGTTGTGGCCGCCATTCCAAGATGGCACTGGGCCCCTGCAGGGCTGGAGTAAACAACTCCATATAGGGTCATAACCAGAGTCACCAGCTCGAGCATGCTCAGTGTCTTCAGCTTGCTGGGCCAATCAGGGAGCCTGAGGTGGCTGCCAGGGGTGCTCGACCAATAGGACAGCTGCACGCTGCCTCAGCTCCTATATAAGCAGCTGCAGTCTTTGTTCTGGGTCCCTCGCTTCCTGCTCTCCCTTCAACCAAGAGGCTCCAATAAAGCGTGATTTGGGAAGAATCCTTGTCTGGTGGTAGTCTTTCCTGCTGGTCAGGGAGTGCTCCACAACACAGCACATTGGGATATAGTTTATCTAATCTACCACCACAACCCGACTCTGTCATCCATTCCTGCAGCTCCCTCGTCCACTACAGGACAGCAGAGAATGGGACGTAGTATTGATAAGATCTCTTCACGTCCTGTAACTGGGAATGGTTCCTGGGATTACTGTCTTTTAAAGAATATATAGCACCAGCCCCATTCCATGTTTGTGTTTCTCAGGTAGTCCTCAATACTATGATACTGCACAGGGGATGCTGCATCCTCCACTGGGTATCATATCCAAAGCCTCACAATGTCCACCTGTCCCTCGGGAAACCCAGGATAGATGCTGCCTGATTTCTCCTGGGTGGAATTACCGCTTCTCTTTTAGGGACCAGTGAGCAGTCTGTGGGGATGCAGACAATTAGCCTGCTCCTAAACAAAACACTGCCCTCTGTTTCATATTCACTGATGATTCCTGTTCAGTCTCTTTATACCCAATATTGCCACGATGGCTGTAAGTGACTTTCTAGCCCCGTCAGCTTTATCCCTCTACTAAAAGCAAGGGGCCTCTCTGCTTCCCACTTCATTTTTCCAATTATAATCAATACAAAAGAAAGACCTAAGAAATGGCTTACGATCCTCTATTGCACTGTCATTATTACATCCCACACTAAAGTACCAACAATTCCTTTAGTAACCCTGACCCACTTTGGCGCCCAAACAGCTCAGGTTCAGTGACCTGGAATGGAGCTCTAGCTCCTGTCCTTGTGAGATGCCACTATCCTTGAGTTTCTGGCACCGATTGCTTTGGCCTCCGAGTCAGCTACATCCACAGGAGCTGTAACTTTTCTTTACGGGGAATAGGGAACTACAACCATCTGAGTGTTAGTGTGCTCAGTGTGATACAGGGATCCTTGTTTCTTGGCTATTTAAGTATACACGGCTGGGAAATGTATGCATGTATGTAAACACAGTATGCAAACGCATGCGAATGCATGCAGGAACGCACACATTTTATATATGTGTGTATAATACCTGTAAGCACATTTTATAAATCATGAGTGCAGAATGATCCTCCATTTCCAGTTTCTACCTCCCTAAGTTTTATATCTATTAGTTATATCTATTTATATTACTTGTCTGAAGCTGATGGAGTTCACTACTGAAGAGCTGCTGTTGCTATACGGCACACCCAACAGGACAAACAGCCATGGTACCTACCTCATCCCTATAAAGTGGGCTGGTATAGTACATTATGTCCATCGCACTACTGTTCAGCATGTCCCTCAGGCCGCGCACTTTGTCAGGAGTGATGGAGTCAACAGTGTCTACAAGGAAAAAACCAACCAAATCAAACTACAGAAGGTTCCAGAGAAAAACTACATCTCCAAAGTTACTTAACATTTAAATATTAAACATTAGTGGGGATATTTCCTTCTTGTAAAATATCCAAAACAGCTGGAGAGATGGCTCAGTGGTTAAGAGCACTGACTGATCTTCCAGAGATTCTGAGTTCAATTCCCAGCACCCACATGGCAGCTAACTGTCTGTAACTAGAAGTCTGATACCCTCACACAAATATAATATGCCTGAAAAACACCAATGCAAACAAAATAAAAGTAAATTATATAAAATAACCAAAACAACACAAAGCAAAAAACAAAAGGTAGGCTGGTTTAACCCACAGAAACAGTTGACCTGAACAAGGGGGGAGCTCTTGGGGCCCTGATTGATGGCTGTGTGGAAAGCATGGGACTGACCCAGACCCCCTGAATGTGGGTGTCAGTGAAGAGGCCTAGGTAATCTATGGGGCTTTGGGTAGTATTTATCCCTGGCCTACAAATGGGCTTTGAGTGCCCATGCCACAATGAGGGATGCTCTCTCAGCTGGGACTCTTGGGGGGAGGGCCTAGGCCCTGCCCTGGATGAAATGACAGTTACTGGAGATCCACCACGGAGGGCATCACCCTCCCTGGGGATCGGGGTGGAGATTGGGTGGGGGGCTGGGAGGCTGGTGGGGAGGGATGGGGAGGAGGGGAGGGAGAGGGAACTGGGATTGACATGTGAAACAAGCTTGTTTCTAACTTAAATAAAAAAAAGGAAGAGGGGAAAAAACAAAACAAAACAAAAGGTAAAAGACAACAAGAAAGAAAGGACATTAAAGGACGAGGCCATTACTGATCTTTTGGCTCTATCTACCTTGGGCCCGACTATGCCTATCTGGCACACCTGGGCCCTGCTAACAACAAACCAGCAATACAAAAGACTTTTCCTACGCTTCACATTTATCTACCTCTTATGAACCAATGACCCTATGGGCATGTATTGTCAAATCACCAGTGAACGCAAAACAATTAGTTATGGGCTTCCGGGAACAGGACAAAGTTGGTGTAACTGTATGAACAAAAGTCTTACTAATAGTTATTGGAGATGCAGAGAAGCATCTGCATTGCTTACATCAGGGTGGAGATGAACACGTTTTGTGAGAGCACAGGAGGACAGAAGCCTTATGACCTCGCTCAAGGACAAGTCATTGCCTTGGCTGACTATTTAATTTGCGTTTATTCTGTAACTTAGTACAATGTGTAAAGCCCGGAAGGCACCATGACAAGGACTAGGCTTCGCTCTACTGTGAATGTGTGTGTTTTCATGTTAAGCCTTTGGTCTAGCTGGTGTATGAAGCAGACATCATTTTTAACCATTTCCCCCTTAGGATAGCCAGTCTCCAAGCACATTCAAGGTGTGGCCCTCTCACCACTGGGCTGGGACAGACACTGCTTTGCTGTGGATCAGGTTCCACATCAGACAGACGGGTGAGGCCCGCACTGTGCTCTACCCGCTTTTTAAAGTGTTTCTACTACAGAAGTTAGATGGCTCCGGCAACTACGGAGGGCGCAGCTCCTCGGCTCCATTCTTGCCTGTTCTGGGCCCTCAGTTCTACAGCCAGTTTACAGTCAGCTCACCAAGTTCTGTGAAAACCTACGGATCAATTTGGGAGTTAGCATCTCTAGAACATTCAACCATTTATCCTGAGAGAATCTTCTTTGTATTTATGTTTTCTTGTATTTTAATAGTTCTTGTACTTTAAAATCTAAACATCCATGTTTACGTTATTTAAAGTTACATGTTTTTTTGAAAATAAAGTTGTTTTTTAAAGCCATTTCTTGGGGTCTTGCATTTTTTGATGTTATCTGTTTGTTTCTGGCCTATAAAAAAAATCCTTTCTGCACATAAATCCTCTATGTCATGACCTTGATGAGCTGACCAGTTCTAATAGTTTTTCCGTCTAGTTTTGTGTTTTCTAAGCAGAAAGCGTGGGGCCTGGAACTGTGCTTTGTGTTTCTTTTTCCCATCATTCCCTTTCATGTCTTATTGTGCTGCTAAGACAGTAGGTCCATGGCCATCTGCAGTTTCTTTTTACCTTTTCACTGCCAATGAGTACACTGATTCTTGCTATGGCATGCTTTTATTTTGAAATTTATAGAGTACAGCTGATTGTGAGTGTTAATACTTGCACAGTTTTGTGTCACAACAGCTGTGATCAGGACACAGAACTGTCCTCTCTGATTTCAACATTTTGCCTCTCCTTCCTTAAGTTTTAGCAGCCACTGGCTTGCTCTTTGTAACTGTAGTTTTACTCTTTCCATTTATATGAATGGGAAGCATAAAGTACAGCGTCTTTCTGGATGGCTTCTTTCAGTTATCTTAATATCTTCAAAACTATCATCAGTAGGTGATGCCCAGAATCCCAGGGCTCAGGAGACTAATGCAGGAAGACTGAGTTCAAGGCCATCTGGGCTACAAAGGGAGACTGTTTCAAGAACAACAGGCTCAGGGGTTCAGTAAATGCTAATCCGTCCTGCTGTCTACATTCCTGAAGTTTACCTGGGTGAGTCAGAAAAGCCCACGGTGTTGGTATACAGGACTTGACATATATACCGCTATTCCTTGGTCACTGGCATTTAGCTATTTCTTGGTGCATTTGGAAGAGAATGGCCCCAAAGGGAGCGGCACTGTTAGGAGGTGTGGGCTTGTTGGAGTGGGTGTGGTCCTTGGGGTGGGCTTTGAGGTCTCGTACATGCTTAAGATGCCACCCAGTGTTGGAGGCCGCCTCCTATTGCCTGCAAGCCAAGGTGCAGGACACTGCCACTTCTCCTGCACCATGTCTCATGTCTGCCTGCACACTACCGTGACAGTGCTGGACTAAACCTTTGAGAATGTCAGCCACCCCAAACACATGCTTTCCTTTCTAAGAGTTGCCGTGGTCGTGGTGTCTCTTCAGCAACAGAAACCTGGCTAAGACACTTCTTAAAAGCTCACTACACTTTTGGATGTTCTAGCTGACATTCCTAGCTATGAGACAGTTACACAGACCTGGAAAACTCCATGGCTGCACCTGGGGCAGATACCACTGTGATGAAGATGGGTGTTATGTCACACGGACCTAGACACGCTTCCTCTACCTCCCAACCACAAGGGACACACACACACGCACACACGCATGCACGCACGCACGCAAGCACACACCTGCTCTCTGTGAAGTCCTAGACACGCTTCCTCTACCTCCAAACCACAAGGGACACGGACACACACACACACACACTCACACACACACACACACACACACACACACCTGCTATCTGTGAAGTTCATATGGCAGTCTAAAGACCCAAGTCAATTTTGTTAATTTTAAAATCAGTTTTTTTCCTCAACTATGTTTGTTCTTGAATAATCTGGAAAAAGTGAATATACTCTAAGATAACTAAAAGGACTCCCTCCCTCCCTCCCTCTCTCTCTCCTCTCTCTCTCTCTCTCTCTCTCTCTCTCTCTCTCTCTCTCTCTCTCGTGGGTGTGTGTGTGTGTGTGTGTGTGTGTGTGTCCAGCTGGTCTGGAACTTGCTATATCAACTAGGCTATGTCTGAACTCACAGAGATTCACTGGCCTTTATCACCCCACCCCTAAGTGCTGGGATTAAAGGCGTAAGCACCACAGACGACCAAGATTGTGTTCTTAATAAAAACATTTCTAAAACTGCATATATCCTTTAGTAAAGGTTTGCCACTGGCTAAAATCATTCAGTTTCAAAATGGACTATACCTCCATCAAGAGTGAGCTTTGATCGCCATTCAACAGGCAGAAACTCGACGTGTGTTGCATGGCTGGAAAAATGCCTTTCTTCCATTTTCCTTGCAGCCTCTCTCATCCTAAAAAATAAACGTAACAAAAACTTTTGAGAATAACTCCGCACACGTCCGTACACGGCACACGTCTCTCACTGCATTGCCTCCGTCTCCTGGCACCTGTGCCCACCGCACCCACTGACTGCGACACTTCGCTGGTGACACTAGCACGGCTCTGCCTCAGCTGCTTTCCTGTTTGTCTCAGACGCTCCCACTTCCGGAACATTCTAGACGACACGGTTCTTCAGGGATGTAAGGGTATAATGAACGCATCCGGGCTTTCCCTCATCTCCACACACCGTGTGTCCAGTCGAGAATCAGCTTGTTTCATCTCCTTTACAAATTTTATTTCTTTTGTTTGCTATTTTACTTATTTATTTAGGTTTTTCAAGACAGGGTCTCTGTGTACCTTTGGAGTTTTTTTTTTTTTTTTTTTTTTTGGTTTTTTACGAGACAGGGTTTCTCTGTGTAGCTTTGGAGTAGTTTTAATTACTGTTATAGCTCATCGTTTCCTCCCCCCCCCATATCCCTGTACTCCACCCCTCCTGCTCCCTTCTCAATTCATGGCCTTTTTACTAATCATTATTCTTACACACACACACACACACACACACAAGTGAAAAAAATGTATAAATACAGCCTGCCGAGTCTGTCCAGCCCTGCTTTCGCGCATGTAATTTCGGGGATGACCACATGGGACTGGGTAACCAATTGGGGGCTCATCCCGGGTTACTAACTTTTTCTCTGAAGTAGTTAACTGCCTGTAGCTGTTCATCTAGTGATGGGACCCCGTGAGTTTTCCTCATCCATGCCGGCATGTCTAGTGGTGGTGCCACCGATCAGGTCTTGTTTAGGCAGTTGCACTGTTCAGTTTTCAGCGTCTAGCTTCCCTGTCATATCTAGAAGACGCCATCTTGCAGAAGACTTCCTGGTCCTCTGGCTCTTGCAATCCTTCTACCCCTCCTTTTAGTTCTTCTTTATATGCAAATTTCAAGTTTTCACTTTGAAAACTGAGGTATCAATGAACCTACAGCTTTCCTTTTGCCAGTTATGTGAATTTTACCACAGAGAGGCTTTTGACCAGCACAACATAATGAAGATACTCAAGAGGTTCACTGTGAAACATTCTCTCATGCTGTCCCTTCAACAGGCACACCTTCCTTTCACAGTTTAAATAAAGCAAATCCCAGATACCACACCATCTTATTTCTTCACACAAACCCTGAACCCAGGGCTTCAAATATTTGAGGCAATTGCTCTACCACTGAGCTACACCCCCAGCCTTCTTACCTTCAAATAGAATATCCCAAGTATTGCAATCAATTCTTTTTTAATTTTAGCATCTCTCCAACTGATTATAAAAACGATTTCACAGTAACATTAAACCATTTCATATTTATGTTCCAAATACTACAGTCCATTCACTGAAGATGGAAGCTAGGTCTCCGGTGTCATTAATTTACAGCCCCCTTACGCCCCACCTCCCTTTCCTACAGTCTGTTTACTAACTGCATCCATGTAATGCTGGTCATGTGACCTCCTTTCGCACAGCTCCTCTAGGGTGTGGTGACATACGGAGGTTGGGCAGGTGTCAGTGAGTTTGGAAAGACTCCACTGGCTTCTGCCCTTTTTGTTAAGTTTTGCCTTATTTTTTACCTGAAGAAATTAAACTTCTGTTTTACTAATGATCTCATGGAGGATATGCCAGCAAACCAATTCTTATGGTTCCTGATATTTAAGGAGAGGATGCGTCAGGACGTAATTATGAGATATGACTCATTAGAAGACAAAGTCAGAATTGGAGCTATGAGATGCCTATAGGAGAAGTGGAGGGCCTGAGAAGAGCTAAGGAAGCCTGCTGGTCTCCAGCAACACAACTTGAGCCGTGCTGCATTCTTCCTTCATCCCTCCGTAGGCACGGCGGTCTTACAGGGTAGCAGGCTGCTGAGGCTCTAAGTCCTAGAGTCATCACTGACTCCATGGATGGCGAATTCTGCTGGCTGGGCTTTCGATGGTAACTGCCTACTTCTCACCGCATCAGAAGCCCGGGCCTCACCAGTTCTGCTTTCTTGTGGCTGCTGGCAAAGAGCCAAATCTAAGGTGGCCCCTTTACCCCCAACATCCCTTTAACACAACACTTAACTTCTGAAGCACACACCCGCCCCCAACACACATCCCACTAAGCTCCTAAAGAGGTTTCAGAAGCAAGCTGAGTATTTATCAGGTAAGGAGATAAGCAACCTGCCTTGCGTGTAAGTATCCACGGACTTCTGTGGACATTCTAGAGTTGTTTCCTCTGGGAGCCATTCGTGGGTAGATTGGATTGGGTTGAAAATTGTCTGTTTAAACAATTCTTAATCTTCTCAGAGATGGACAACTTTGAAGATCCTCAATTTCTGAAGCTCAGAGAGCAAGGAACAAACCTAAAACTAGCTCTTTTCCTGTTGTCAACCCTAAATTAGTTAAATATGTTAATTAAGGCTATTTTTAAAAATCACTCCTTCTCCTGCAATGGAGGAAAAAGTCACATATCATAAAGATCACTCTTTTGGTTTCCTCCAGAAACGTCACTGATATTAGAAGAGATTGCACTGGGAAGACAGGGAGTTGAACCTGTGGCTCTGCTTATGCCTCAGGCAGAAGCTGGACTGTCTGCAAAGAACTCACATGGCTGTGTTCTTTATAATTCTTCCTTGGTCCATCTTCTGTCCAATGCCATGCACAACAAACACAATGTGAGAAGTCTGCGATGGCTTGTCTTCCAGCGTGGCTTCTTCTACATAGCCTCTATGAAGCCTGGTCCCACTACTGGAGGCTGAGGGAAAATTATGGCCCCAAGATTAGCACTCAGGAAACTGTATTTGCAAAATACGTGTAAAGAAAGGCAAAGCAGCAATGATAAGACTGTAAGAAGATATTCCACTGGGTATAGAAAGGGAAAATAAAGTTTGTACTCTTACATTGATTGATGGACATAAAATGACATGAATACAATATAAAAGCCAAAAACCATTAGGAAAACAAAAGGATAAACAGAATATAGAACAATAAATAAAAACTTCTATATTAAAAAGTACACCAGATGTGGTGGCACATGCCTTTAATCCTAGCACTCGGGAGGTAGAGGCAGTTTGATCTCTGGGAGTACAAGACCACTCTGGACTATACAGTGAGTTCCAGAATACACAGAGAGACCCTGTCTCAAAAAAAAAAAAGTCACAGAGAGCTTACTAGTCAAAAAGTACACACATTCAATTAATGTTGTGAGCTGAAGATATAAAAAGATACCCTATAAAGTGAACACAACTATAAACATATCAAGTATTCAGGTATATTTATAGCAAATAAATTAAAAGAATGACATAATAATATTTGACTAGGTTTAAAAAATGAATTTTCAATCTTATTGAGAATGCTATATCTTCCCTAAACACTGTTTTAAAAAAGTTGACTTTGTGTGTGTATGACAGACAGGAGGAGGGGAGAGAGAGAGGGGGGAGGGGAGAGAGAGGGAGAGAGAGGGAGAGGGAGAGAGAGAGAGAGAGAGAGAGAGAGAGAGAGAGAGAGAGAGAGAGAGAGAGAGAGAGAGAGAGAGGGAGAGAGAGAGAGAGAGAGAGAGAGAGAATGTGTGGACACTTGTGCAAGGTCAGGGGATAGTCCTGGATGTGCAGTGCTCACTTTGCACAAAGCAGCCTCCTGTTCTCTGCTGCATGATGACAGCACAGCTGGCTTTCACTTCTCAGGGTTCAGCTTGGGCCCTGTGTCCCCTGCAGCAGCGTTAGGACTGCAGGTGCACACAGTGTGTCTAGGACTGCAGGTGCACACTGTGTGTCTAGGACTGCAGGTGCACACTGTGTGTCTAGGACTGCAGGTGCACACAGTGTGTCTAGGACTGCAGGTGCACACTGTGTGTCTAGGACTGCAGGTGCACACTGTGTGTCTAGGACTGCAGGTGCACACAGTGTGTCTAGGACTGCAGGTGCACACTGTGTGTCTAGGACTGCAGGTGCACACTGTGTGTCTAGGACTGCAGGTGCACACTGTGTGTCTAGGACTGCAGGTGCACACTGTGTGTCTAGGACTGCAGGTGCACACTGTGTGTCTAGGACTGCAGGTGCACACTGTGTGTCTAGGACTGCAGGTGCACACTGTGTGTCTAGGACTATAAATGCACACAGTGTGTCTAGGACTGCAGGTGCACACTGTGTGTCTAGGACTATAAATGCACACAGTGTGTCTAGGACTGCAGGTGCACACAGTGTGTCTAGGACTGCAGGTGCACACTGTGTGTCTAAGACTGCAGGTGCACACAGTGTGTCTAGGACTGCAGATGCACACTGTGTGTCTAGGACTGCAGGTGCACACTGTGTGTCTAGGACTATTAATGCACACAGTGTGTCTAGGACTGCAGGTGCACACAGTGTGTCTAGGACTGCAGGTGCACACTGTGTGTCTAGGACTGCAGGTGCACACAGTGTGTCTAGGACTGCAGGTGCACACTGTGTGTCTAAGACTGCAGGTGCACACAGTGTGTCTAGGACTGCAGATGCACACAGTGTGTCTAGGACTGCAGGTGCACACAGTGTGTCTAGGACTGCAGGTGCACACTGTGTGTCTAGGACTATAAATGCACACAGTGTGTCTAGGACTGCAGGTGCACACTGTGTGTCTAGGACTATAAATGCACACAGTGTGTCTAGGACTGCAGGTGCACACAGTGTGTCTAGGACTATAAATGCACACTGTGTGTCTAGGACTGCAGGTGCACACTGTGTGTCTAGGACTGCAGGTGCACACTGTGTGTCTAGGACTATAAATGCACACTGTGTGTCTAGGACTATAAATGCACACTGTGTGTCTAGGACTGCAGGTGCACACTGTGTGTCTAGGACTGCAGGTGCACACTGTGTGTCTAGGACTGCAGGTGCACACTGTGTGTCTAGGACTATAAATGCACACAGTGTGTCTAGGACTGCAGGTGCACACAGTGTGTCTAGGACTATAAATGCACACAGTGTGTCTAGGACTGCAGGTGCACACCATGCCTCTATATTTTTATGTGACTTCTGAGAATGTGAACTCAGGTCATCACACTTGAGTGGCAAGTCCTTTTCTCTATGGTGCCATCTACCTAACCCTTCTTTTCTCTTTTGGTAAAACTACTTTAGCAGGGTAGTGGTGGTGAATTCCTTTAATCCCAGCACAAGGAGGCAGAAGTAGGTGGATCTCTGTGAGGTCAAGGCCAGCTTAGTCTAAGGAGAGAGTTCCACCACAGCTAGGGCTGTTACATAGAGAAACCCTGTCTCAAAAACAAAGCAAAACAAAAAACCAACCAACCAACCAGACAAAAAAACAAAACAAAACAAAACAAAAAGTCTCCTCAGCCCCCAAAGGGGAAAAAAAAAGAAGTAAAAAAACAAAACAAACAAAAAAACCCACAAAAAAAATCAAAAACCTACTTTAAACTGCAAGAGGCCAAGAAACAATTCGTTTAGCAAAGCTTTACAATGAGCTGTGCTGTTTTTCTCACAACCACCATTCCCTCCTTCCCTGAAACTGAATCCATGACAATATGGCTTCTGTCCCAACAATCCCAGTCACGAAACCCACTGTCCTGAAGATAACAGGGACATTTTCAGCTTCCTCTTCCTTTATGCTTTGTACCAAGTACCATGTTCAGGTTCACTGTCTCAAGGAGGGCACTTACTGTCCTCGTTCGAACATTCTAACTCATAACTATGAGTTGATGAGTGAAGACATACACCTTACTAAAAGTTTTGCTCAGTGGGTTCTTTTCACTGAGTGTAATTTGTACTTAAAATATATTAAGCCGGGCGGTGGTGGCGCACGCCTTTAATCCCAGCACTTGGGAGGCAGAGGCAGGCGGATCTCTGTGAGTTTGAGACCAGCCTGGTCTACAAGAGCTAGTTCCAGGACAGTCTCCAAAGCCACAGAGAAACCCTGTCTCGAAAAACCAAAAAAAAAAAATATATATATATATATTTATATATATATATAACAGAATATGAATTACCTACTTCTGACTCCCATAATTTTGATGAGTCACAGTGACATGTAGCAATTACCTTTAGAAAATCCCAGTTTTTGGGTGACGGTTCTGGCAATTTTGGATGTTGTTGCATCACTGTAGAGATACACTTCATCCATGCTATGCCAATCCACATGGTTCCGACTCAGTTTGAAACTATGAACAGCTGCGGTACAAAAGAGAGGAATTTCAAGTTCTCCAAGACAGAGTTTCTTTGTGTGAAATACTCGAATACTCATGTTTCTGGATCACTATCACCTAACTCAGACAACACGTACTTTAGTTCAGTAGAGAAAATTTCATTACAAACATTCATGTCACATAAGCAATGCACAGAACTTCATAAATGCTCAACAATGCTATGAGGAACAGCAGAGTGGCTGGCACGGCTATAAAGTATTAACCTCTTGTATGTAGGTGATCTGGTTTTTGATTATCAAGGGGTTGTGTCCTCAGGGGTATGGCTCCTCTTTCTAAGGGGTACACACATATTTAAAAGTTTTCAATAGCTCTGACACAGAAATTTAGGTACTATTTCTTCTGTTGATTTTACTAAAACTATCAAGTTATATGAAAATTTTACTCAACGTGAGACAAAAAGGAGACTGATTGGCTGGGTGCCCCTGTCCTACCTAAAGACAGATTGGGTATGAGCCCAAATTAAGAGTACAGTTCTGTGTGTAAGACTGTACAGTCCTGGTCAAGACTGTAAGACACGCTGACGTAGCGTGTTCCCCCATGAGAAGACAAGGCACACTGTAAGAAAATCTACTTCTTACATCAGAAATAACTTAAAGACTTATGACAACCAATTATATTTTACTTACCTTTCAAGGTAAGTTACTGGTGTGTGTGCGTGTGTGTGTGCGTGTGCGTGTGCATGTGTGCATGTGCGTGTTGTGTGAATGTACCTCTCACAGGCCTAAGATTCAATTAACAGAAAGCAATCACAGACTCAGACTTTTTTTTTTAAAAGGTTTTCACAAAGTAAAAAGATTTAGCGCCAGGCCTTTAATCCCAGCACTTGGGAGGCAGAGGCAGGCGGATCTCTGTGAGTTCAAGGCCGGGCTGGACCGATAGCCTCCAAAACAATACAGAGAAACCCTGTCTCGTAAAAACCAAAAAATAAACCAAAAAACAAAACAAAACAAAAAAAAAGGTTTAGCAACTTTTGTAAGGGCTTAATAACCATTTATAAAACAAATTATTAATATAGTTCTGATCTACCTACGTTTAAAAGACTGAAACTTCATGATCAAATATGTAGAGAAAATATAAATCTAGCCAAACTCCGTTCCTCTGCAAGTCATTTATATGTTGTCTTAAAGTGGACCATCTTAACATTCAAACACCTTAATGGAATACAGTTTTCATATATATGTATAAAAATGTAGAACTAAGCCAAATAGCACAACAGACACATTTTCAGAAGAAACTAGCAAGCACTTCTATGCTTTAAGCACAACTGAACTACAGCTGGGGTAAGCTACACAGAGAACAGAAGTACGGTTACTGTACCTTGGGAACGCTTTCGCTTAAGACCTGTGGCATCTGCACTCTCCTTATATGCTCTCCATTTGAACAGAGAAGGGAGGGAGAAGGGAGGGAGGTGGCTGACAACTAAGAAAGCAAAAACACTGAGCTTCAAAGTAAATTTAGGCGAGTTCTCTGCTTTGCCTTTTCCTTTTAGTCTTAACTTTTAAAAACTACATTTGACAAACATTATTCTAAATGCTTTGTAAAATATAATTTCTAACTAAAAACCAACAAACAAAAATTAGTTTAATGTCTGTCAAATATATATGCTCTACTTTTATTGAAAGGAACAAAGGCAAATAATATCTAAATTTATCAGTGACAGACAATTACACGATCATCATTTAATTCCTTTGCATAGCTACAAGAAATGCATGGCATTTTCGAATGCTAACAGAGATTTACACACTCTATCTTTCTGATATTAAGCTATTTACTTCACCAAATTTGTGATAACATAGAGAAGAGGTGATATACAATTTGAGAATACAACCACATTTTAACAGCTAATTCCGCTGGCCTGAGGCACCACAGCACACACGGCACTGAACGCTGTCCACACTGAGGTAGGATGACTTCGACTGTTTCAGAAGCAAGGCCCCCTCCCACAACCGAGAAAGTGGTAAAAGACTTGAAAGGGAAAAACTTTTTAAGAAAATCATATTGGAGGTTCCACTTTCAACTATCCCTTTTGGAAAGATTAATGATAGCATAACAAAAATAGTCTCATTAGAAAACATGCTGTGATTGACATTAAGCAGACAACACAGAAAAGACAAGCATAGACTTGATATTTGACAAATCAGTAGATAACCTTAAATCCCCATGTTCCTTGTTGAATTTTGCTAGTTATATATTGCCTATAACATTCCTTATATTTTTAAAATAAATTTTATGTGCATTGGTGTGAAGGTATGAGATCTCCTGAAACCAGAGTTGCAGACAATTTTAAACTGCTGGGTGGGTTCTGGGATTTGAACCCGGGTCCTCAGGAAGAGCAGTCAGTGCTCTTAACTGCTGAGCCTTCTCTTATATTTAAGTAATTATTCACTATACTTGAAACTGAATCTTATAAATCAGTTTACTACTTAGCTAATTAACAAAATTTTGTGATTTAGCTAAAATTTGTATTTTAATACATTCAATTTTCACCATCATTGCCTCCTACATTTATTTGACATTCAAAGGCTTAATACTGCTCAGATAAAAAAAATCTTTAATTTCTGTTGTATATACAATTAAAGTATATGCAAATATTTATGTATAAGGTTCCTCAGGAAATTTTTACAAGGCATTAACAACTACATCTGCATGTTAAATTACTATATCTACATGCAATTAGATGGCTTTAAGACTTTAAACCGGGGCTAAAAGCTGGGTGACAGCCTTTGAGTAATAGAAAGGACACGGAAGCCGGCGTCTGTTCCTTCATGGGCCTTCTGGTCAGTCAGTCAGAAGCAGTTACACTTAGGCCAGCAAAGACATTAAACCAGGAAAAAGCTGCTAACGGCTAAGGGTCAGACAAACATCAACTTGTAATTTGCCTCACAAAGAAACAAGGACTAGATTGTAACCCGAACCTGAACCAAATCCCACATTTACCAAAAAGAGCTCTTGGGACACATATGGGCCACCTGACATTATAAAACTATGTAAGCACTTTCAGAAAGCATAAAGACACAAAATGCATTCTCACCTTTAAAAAACAATGCTTAACTCCATGAAGATAAACAAAACCCATTACAAAGCCTTTACTCCCAACAGAAAAGCACAATTATTTAAGACATTTCTATAAAGTTAAATGGTTATGGTTCTTTACCCCTCATCTTATTTTCACTTGAAAATCATCTGCTGGGGAGCTTCATTCTTTCAGCCCCAAACACAGAATTACAGGCATTACTTTTAACAGAAGAAAACCTTTACAGACTATTATCGGAGATCACTCATGGGGGGAAGGAGGTTTAGGTTCTTGAAAGTTCTATTTCCTTTTGCTAAAATAATAATTCTGCCAAACATGAAACTTAGTGGTTTCTATGTACTATTACAAAAGTATGCATTTATTCACAGTATAACTGAAGATGTGAGTACAGGCTGGTAACATTTAATAAGACATTTATACGTTGAAGTCTTGCTTGGTAATGAAAAGACAAATGTTAAATCATTAGAATCATTTGCTTACTAATTAATCAATCTCTCAAAGAAACTATCTCTACCATGTAATTCTAAATATAGTAAGTGTATCCAAAAACGGATACGATGATAATTCCTACAAGAGAGACACACAGCAACTTCTCCCTTTATGAAAGCTAATAGTCTGGAAAATTAGTATTTACTCATTTTTAAATAGCGGTTTGGCCAGGCTGCCTCAAATGATCCCATGCTGAGTTTCCTTCCCAAGCAATCAGAGTCCAGGCATGTGCCATGATGCCTAGCGTTGATCTGGAACATTCTTTCTCTCAGGGAAAGCAGGTGGCCTTGTGCATCTCAAACTTGCTAACTACAACTAAACTGTAGCACTCTTTTTTTGGATCTCAAGTAAATTTAAGTTGAGCAAATTGATAAAAAAAATTAAATTAAAAAATCGTAACCCCGAACTAGAAGATGGGAATCCTCAGCCACCAAAGACAGAGAAGAAAACTGGTTAAGGGGCCCGAATGCTCCCCTCCATCTCTGCCCCCCGCTCTGAGAAAGGACCTCACTCATGGATTTTCTGTTCTAGACCCCATTCAGAGTCCCAGCTTACACTGTGCTGGCTCAGCTCCTGCCTGTGACGAAGTGTGAACCACACAGGGACATCTTACACGTTATGTGGTGGAACAGCCCTTACTTTCAGATTGTCTTATGTTTTTCTACTACAGAATTCAGGCTGTGCATGTTTGTGGGAGTGATGCACACTATTAATGCATTTAGGTCAACTTTTAGAAACTACTATATATGCTTGGGTAAACTGAAAGGGATGAAACTACAATCCAGTACTAAGTGTGTTTACGGATTTTTTTTCCGAGACAGAGTAGCCTGTCTCAGTAGTTTCTTTGTGTAGCCCTGGGACTCGCTTTACATACCAGGCTGGCCTTGAATTCAGAGATCCAGCTGCTGAATGCTGGGATTAACAGTGTGTGCCACCACCTCTTGGTAAGAATTATTTATTCGAAGGCACAATTTTATTTATATTAGTCATCTTAAGTGAATGGACAGGCTGAGACTATATTATCACTGTATTAGATAAACATTTTCTAGCCTTGGGGTTGGAGAGAAGGCTCAGTGGTTAAGAGTGTTTACTGCTCTTGCGGAGCACCTGGGTTTGTTCCCCGCACCCAGAAGGCAGCCTTTTCTGACCCCATTGGACTCCTGCACCCAGGTGGTTCACATATACACTCAGGCACACACATACAAATAACTTTTTTCCTCTGGTTATTAGATGAGGCAGGAGAGCATTTTCATTTTAGTTCCCAGAGAATTAAGTTCAAGGGTCTAAGTCACAAAGTGGGTTATCTTTATTTGGATAGTTATATATCAGACATCCATCAATCTAGTTCAATGTTTATTTTGAGATTAGTCAGAAAAATCTAAAGGAGGTAAAACTTAGACACACTAAACAGACATGCTCAAAAGAGTGAGAAGTAGTATCTTATTTTAATGCTCTGAAGGTAGGAACTTAGTTTCTTTGGAATTTCCTAAAATACTAATGAGTTCCTGCTTCTAGCATTTTTAAACATTCATATTTATTGGATGAGACTTTACAGACAGCCTGCTAATCACTCCATGGCACTCTGTTCCAAACTGTCTAGATCCGCTGTGCCGCCTGCACTCAGTCTGGGGACTGTCCTGCTGGCTCTCTCCCAACACATCCTGAAAACTCCATGGGTGCATGACCTTACACTCCTCCCACAAAAGCGCCTAGCAGAACTAGGAGGCATTAACAATCCTGACAAAGGAAGAGCCAACGCTGTGTCATCACACGCGGAAATAGTTAGGTGGAAAAGTTATAAAAAAAAAATAATCTGGAGTATATGTTTTTTGTTAAATATTTGACGTGTGAGGTATTTTCTCCTAATTGGTGGCTTTTTGGAGGGTAAAGTTCTAAATACCAGCTGTGAAGTACACTACCAAATTTCCCATGATCTTCAAAGTTAAGTGTCACACCTTAACCTCTGAGCATATATGTATCATAATACTAAGTAATAGATGAAAAGACTGAAAATGATAGAGCTAACAACATGATGAACCTTGACCTATACACCACAACAGAGCTAACATTCTCATCACAAGCTGGGAGTGGGGGTGTATGCTTGCAATCTTAGCACTTGGGTGCCAGAGCCAAGAGGGCACCCTCAACTACATGCACAAGTCAAGGCCCACTGAGACTACACGACACCGTTTCAAAACAATCAGCAAAATAAAAACTGAGGGGCAGGGGCTATACAGCTAGTTCGAGGGCAGCTAAGGCTACCAAAAAAACCAAAACAAAACAAAAAACCCTGCCTCAAAAAAAAAAAAAAAAAAAAAAAAAAAAAGAAATCAACTTGTAGCCAGGTGGTGGTGGTGCATGTCTTTAATCCCAGCACTTGGGAGGCAGAGGCAGGTGGATCTATCTCTGTGAGATCAAGGCCAGCCTCAGTCTACAAAGTGAGTTCCAGGACAGCCAGGACAGAGAGACCCTGTCTTGAAAAACGAACAAACAACAGTTAAATACATACATAAAATTTTCTTGTAATAACTTCAAGGAATCATTTTTAAAAATATGACAATGTAATACATTATTTCTTTTTTCTTTACTCTCTCCTCCTTCTCTCTTTCCTCCCTCCCCCTTTCCTGATTGTCCTGGAATTTGCTGTGTAGATGGGCTGTGATTAAAGGTGTGTACCACCATGCCTAGCTAAACATGTTATTTAGAATGCCTTGTGGATCCTTAAAGATACCAAATAATGTTACACTAGTTGAGATTTAGAGACGAGAGAGAGAGAGAGAGAGAGAGAGAGAGAGAGAGAGAGAGAGAGAGAGAGAGAGAGAGAGAGAGAGAGAGAGAGAGAGAACCTACTCATATAAATAAACGTTACTCCCCTCCGCCAGTGTTTCTCTGTGTAGACCAGGCTGGCCTTGAAACCTCTGAGAGTTGGGATCAAAGCTGAACACCACCTCCGCCCAGCATAAACTGCATACTTAGGCATATTAAGTTTGGGCACTTTGCTGAAGACTGAAGTATTTGTTACATGTAATAATTAGAAAGAGAGCATAGAGTTCACATGAACATTAATTTGATTGTGACTATGATTCTAAACAGGTAAGATGTAGAGATGACAGCTGCTGACACCCCACAGGCTGGATCCGCAGAGGGGTAGAACAGTCTGAGCAGGGGACAGCTCCTTTGATAATGTATATTCTCCTCCATTTCTCCAAGCCCAGGGGCTTTCAAGCACTAAACATAAGGAATTGGGGTGACAAAACTATGTTTGCTACATGAATTGCTATTTTTGAGGTAGAAGACTTAAGGAAGAAAAAATTCCCAAACTCCACTTTCTCTAATAGCAAAGAAATTGTTTTATGACAAAGGTTCTGTCATTCAGACACTGCGAAGCAGGTTTGTGGTGATTCTGGTAGTAGCGGAGAGAGATTTTATCCCTTAATTTCAAATCACAGAAAACTTTTCAATTCTTGCTGCCCAAGAGTGCAAGGCGATTTCTCTAGTTATTAAAGCACTACTGCAGGCATCAGCAGCCGCGGCTCTTACAGAGAACCGCTTTGTCTACACTGAGAGCAAAACCTAAGTCTGTCAGCAAAATAAGGACATATTTGACTATACAGGTTAATAAAATGAAATAATGTATCTAAAACTCAGAGTATGCCGAGTATCACATAAATGATGGATTTCACAGGTCGTTTATTGTTTATGTGGAAATCACAAGTTTCCTCATTTAGCCAGACTTAACTGAGTACACACAAAAGCTAAGGCAGCGTTAAAGCTTCTTTTCTTGTGACCAATGTATGTATCTGTGTGTTCAGTGAGGTGACAGTAAAGAGCAGAAGCAGGGAATAAATGGACCAAAGAGAAGAGACTGGATACAAGGCCTGGAGACGGTGAAGAGCCACATCTGGGAATGCTTCCTGGCTTCAGAGAGGTTTTATGGGGAAGGAAAGTGATTACTCAGGTTGTACTTCAGTTCACTAGGGCTTGCCAAAAGCCTCCCAAATAAAGGCAAGCAAGGATGAAGAAACACTCCGAGTATCTATGTATTCATTCTAAGCTCCTGTGCGTTGTACTCACCAGAATAGTTGATCCCACTGCCTGCATTAAATGGAATGATAGAAGGGTTTTTAACTTTACCACATATTTTGAGGTTTATTCAAGATTCAGACACATACTGAAAACATGGCAATCTTGGCTATTCTACAACATTCTAACATATTTACTTGCTTAACAAGGAACTGTAAAGAGAACACTGTTTTAAATTAAAAACTGACATTTATCATCTAGAAATAGCTAAAAGACACACAAATCAATGCTGGCTTTGAAAATTCAGGAAAAGAATCAACATTAAAATACTAATAAAAATGCTTTTTTTACATAAGAGCAAGGATTTTATTTAATAAGTTCTATTTTCAGTGATAATTCAAATTGGCCCAAATGACTAACTTGGAGTATAATATAAACATTTTGTACCAATATTATAAATTTTGTTAGTATCATGCAATAAAACGTATGTACTAAGTAAAAAATAATCCAAAAATTCACAGTAACTTTAAATTCTAGAATACTAAGTATTTTAAAAAACCAAATTTTAGAGCTAGGGGATACAGTTCAGGGGTAAAACACTTGCTTAGTATTCATAAGGCCTGATCCTTCAGCCCCTCAAAAATGTCAAATTTAACACATTCTAACACCTCCTGAGCTACTATTACCAAACTTACCGACTACTCTAAGATTTATCAATTACTTACTGTCACAGAACATATAAAGCATTAGCTGGTCATCTTACCGTCTTTTCCGTCTATGGATTTTGACACTTCAATATCAAAGTTTTCTTGCATCTGCTGACCTCTAAAACAGCTGAGATGTTCTTGCTCAATTAAATTACTTTCTTCTTCTTCTAGAGGCTGCCAAGTCCCATCAATAAACCACTGCCCACGCATTACTGGTATTTTATCAGCTTCTGAAAAGAGACATCACAAGATCAACCTCTCAAAAGGAGACTTAGCTACAATTTTATATTTTACTATTGCTATTCTCCAAACAGACTTTAATGACCCAATATCTTCATTTAAGGTAGAAATTAATCCAGGTTTCAAACCAGGGTGTAATTTTCCTGTTTGTTCCAGTCAGGGTCTCACTCTGTAGCCTTGGCTGGCCTGGAACTCAATGGGCAAACCAGGCTGGCTTCATGCTTGCAGTTACTCTCCGGCCTCTGCCTCTTGAGTGCGGGGTTGTAAGTGTGAAACACTACACCTCGCTAGAGATTTTTACAGATACCAAGACTAAATTATACGAAACATTACACATAAGTTGCTTTACCATTCAGAAGATAGATGAGCAACTATCTATGTATTTGAGACCCTAAATAACCCAAATTTGGAGGTTAAAGGCTTTACTTTAAGACTTTGTTGGTCGTGCAAAAAGTCTTTGTGGTAGTCTGAATATAACTGGCTCCCATAGTCTCATAGGGAGTGGGATATTAGGAGGTGTGGGTGAGGCTTTACTGAAGTGAGTGTGGCCTTGTTGGAGGAAGTATGTCACTCTTGGGTCTGGCTTTGAGGTTTCCTATGCTCAGGGTACCACTCAGTGTCTCAGTCAACTTCCTGTTGCCTGTATATCAAGATGTAGCCAGCACAATGTCTGCCTACATGGCACCATGCTCTTTGTGATGATGATAATGGACTGAACAACTGAAACTTCTAAGCCATGTCAATTAAATGCTTTCTTTATAAGAGCTGCAGTGGTCATGAGTCTCTTCACAGCAGTAGAAACCCTAACTAAGACAGCCTTATATTAATGCAATATCCCAGTGCATGTAATGCTGAGCTTTTTAAGGCCATGCTAGAATACATCTGTTTCCAGGTAGAACACAAGGAAAATAATAAAGCAATTACAGTAAATTTCTCATCCATTGTAGGAAAACAATTATTGAATAACATTTTTCCAATTATACACTGTTACCAGAAGCCTAAGACCTTTGCTTATTTTAAATAAACCACACTAATAGTCGTCCTGAATCCTATAAACAGGGCTTGCCCTACAGTGGCAGAGTGCTTGCAGAGCACATACCAGGTCCAGAGTTCAACTCTCAGCACCACTAACAGGAAAAAACAGACCAATAGCTGCCCCCAAACAACAACATCAACCAGCACACGCACACGAAATCTATGGACAAAACAAAGACAACATTAAAACCGTAAGTGGAGGTTTCCCTGTCCTGCCCCATCTAAATAATCACTCAGAGGCTTAAAATTAATTACTGAATGTTTGGTCTATAGTTCAGGCTTATTACTAACTAGGTCTTACATTTTAATTAATTAACCCCTTCCTATTAATCTGTGTATTGCCACATAGCTGTGGCCTTTACCGGTCTGCTGGCATCTTGCTTCTTGGGCGGCTGGCTCACACCTCTCCCAGACTCCACCCTTCTCTTCCCTGTATTTTCAGTTTGGCTTTCCAGCCTGGCCTTATTCTGCCTTGCTGTAGGCCAAACGCAGTTTCTTTATTAACCAATGAGAGGAATACATATTCACAGTACACAGAAGGGTTATCCCACAGCATTAACCTTTCTGCAATAGCCACATTTTTACACATAACAATGCAGCTAATTTGAAATTGTAGGCTTAGATGAATGCACCAGCTTTTGCCAATATCATTAGTGTATTAACTGATGACACGGACACTCTGTGTTGTGGTAACATCTTATTGTGCATAAAAGAGGAAACATCCATGGGAAAGACAGACAGAGACAGCTGGAAGGGTCCGGAGCCAGAGAGAGAAAGTAGACAGTCAGGGCTGTGTGCAGCTGGGAGAACAGCAGGGCACAGAGGATGGAGAGAGCATGGTGTGACCAGCATAGCGAGGGCTGAGAATGGTGGGAGGAGCTGGCTCATAAGGAGGATGGGTAGCTGGGGTGGGCTGGGGGCAGGAGACAGGTGTGGGAGCTTTAAAATGCGAACTTGTACTTGTGAGTAGAGACTGAGGGCGCCTGGAGGCTGCCACTGACCTTGATACACTGACCGGCACCACAGGTGTGTTAACTGGACCTTGGTATGCCGTCAGGGCCACAGATGTGTGTTAACTGGAGAGCCAAACATCCCTGCTGCCAGAGGTTAGGGAAATGGCTTCTTTCGGCAGATGAGAACTGGCTTCACTAGTTCCTGAGGAATGCCGGCTTTATCTAATCACCAGAGAGCCTTCCATAGTCCAGGCTGAGTTCACTTCTAGACATCCTGACTGCCTTTTGGAGTTTGAAGAACTGGAGTTTCCTTTGAACCTGAAAGTTGGGACTTAGAACTTTGGCACAGAAGGGATGCAGACAAAAAAGGAAAAAAAAAACAAACAAAAAACCCCTCTGCAATTATAAATTTCAATTAGGAATATCAACGTGAACTGATGCCTTTCCCTTAAAAAGGGGAGGGGCATAAACCACTCAGTGCATGTGAGTAACGCTAACACTGAGTGAGCTGAGCTAATCCCAGAGTTCTCTCAGTGTTCAAGACAACTTGTTAATATTCAGCCATCTGTAGTGGCCTGCCCTTGGGGTCCTGACAGGATACGCCCTCAGCTGCAGCCACTAAGAGCACCACCTATGCACGTTCACTATGCTCCTTTTTAAAAGGGTCCTGCCCACCTCCTATCTTCCCCTCTCTCTCCCGCTCCCTTTCTCCCTCTCTCTCTCCTGTCACTCTTGTCCCCATGGAGTGGTCTCTGACCCCTTTCTGTTCCCCCTCTGCCCCTTCTCTCTCCTCTTCCAATAAACCTCCTATGTGAAGCCAGCCATATGGTGTGACTCCATCCTGCTGTTTCTTTTTTAAATTACAACACAGATGAACAAAATGGCTGATTCTGGGCTTGGGCAGGAAATATGTCAGATGATCTCATGTGTTTTCATTCTACCAGACTTGTGCTATGATGCTGTTTGCGATTTTTGTAATAGTGCCTCCCTGTGTGGCCCTGGGTGGCCCAGGATGGCCTCGACTTGGAGTGCTAGAACCCCCCACCCTGGCTCCTGTGTGTGCTTCTTCTGATGCTCTATAGAGGTTCTGTGCGCTGTGATGCTTGCTGTGTTAGGAGCACACACTGAAAGCAGAACGTCCCAAGCTATGGCTTTGTGCGTACTGTTACTTTTACTGGGGGTGGGGATGGGGGGAGGCTTGAGTTTTACTTTTGCTATTGCTGAAGACAGAATTCTTCTCTCCATTAGGCCTTGGTAGCTGCACGTCCATTTTGTATTACTGTGCTCTAAATATGCCTCAAATACAGCCCAGAATTGGGTTTTGCAGGAAAAGCCATGTGAAATTTTCTTTTGAATAAGACAATATTTACTGATATGATTAATATATCTGAACTCAAGTCTTTGTTCTTTTATAATTATCATCTTTTTTTGGTGGTGGTGGTGGGGTTTCAAGACAGGGTTTCTCTGTGGCTTTGGAACCTATCCTGGAACTAGCTTTTGTAGACCAGGCTGGTCTTGAACTCACAGAGATCCTCCTGTCTCTGCCTCCCGAGTGCTGGGATGAAAGGTGTGCACCACCACAGTCAGGCTTATAGTTAGCATCTTTATTCTTCAAACTTTCCCTGTGTAGCATGTCTGCCCTCTGTATTAGGAAGACTAGGAAAGTGTGTGTTACACTCAAGTAGTTACCTGTGAGTGTTATTGTAAATCCTTTTTGTTTACTTAAAATTTTTACATTGGTCAGTCTATTTTAAATGGTATTTATGACTCCCCTTTACTATATATGCAGTAGGTTACTACTATTTTCTCTTTGATTGGACATACAATTACACTTACGTTTCCAACACTGTTGGATATACATGAAAATTTACATTCTTGGATCTACATTAAAACGGAACTGTGGTATGCATCTTCTAAATTCCTGTATGTTGGATCTGTTGCCCTGAAACTGGAAAGGCAGGCTAGCCAGCTTAAGTTCTAAAGTGCTGCTGGATCACAGCCTTCCAACTTTACTAGTAATGTGACCTTTGTTCCCCCATACAGGCTCAGAAAGAAACAACTCATCTTTAGAGTCTAATGTCACCAAGCTGACTCAGCTGTTCTGGCTCTTCCACGGTGGCGGCGGAACGTCACAGTTGAAGACTCTGTTCTATCAGCTTGGGAGACTCCAGTGACAGGTATGTCGCGCTGTTCCAGCCCATACGGCACCAGCTACGTCCTAAGTTCCCTTTCTTCCTTTTGAGTCCTCCTTTCATACTCTTGATTATTTTCCTTTGTGCCAATGGCCCTTAGTAGATTTTGAATTTACTCTCCCTTTCCTTCAACTTTGTCTTACGGTTTCTGTGCTGTGAGAAACATTATGATTAGAAGCAGCTTGGGAAGAAATGGCTTAGTTCATCTTACAGCTTACAGTTCATGGGGAAGGGAACTCGGGCAGGAATTCAGGCAGGACCCAAAACAAAAGCATGGAGTAACGGTGCTTACGGCCGTGCTCTCCATGGCTGGCTGGGCTTGCTTTCTTAAAGCACCCCGGGCGCCTCCTCAGTGCGCACTGCCCACAGTGGGCTGGGCCTAACCACCTCAACCAGTGACAGTAACTGCTGCAATTCGCTTTCTCAACAGAAAAGTAATTACAGACTCATACTGCTGTCTACCTTGCCCAAGGTGTGAGCTGTGTGTGTGTGTGTGTGTGTGTGTGTGTGTGTGTGTACACCTTCCTGGCAATTTAGGTTTAGAGAGCTGTTACTACCTTCCAGACCAAGCAGCTTGTCTCATTTAATCTTAACTGTAATCTTAATTGTTTCTGCTGCTTCCAAAAGTATAGCTGGGTATTAGAGAAAACACATCACCTGTCCAATACACAGGAGATTTCAATAGAAGTCTGTCTATGTTCACTTGAGCTATTTCCGACTATACTATGCAACTTTCCAGAGAGGAAAGGTCCCTGCTTAGCCCTCTCTCCCCAAAACACCGGTTCTTGAGTTGTGTTGAGTCATGAAAGA